ACTAAATGTTTGGTTTAGGCCATTTTCTCCATCCCTTTTGCTAAACCACAGATGATGGGATGAGATTTAAACATGCACACACACCGCGCCTTGAATTCTTAAAATTTTTGAGACTATGTCATGCATGTGGAGCCCTTGTCTTTAATTTTGGTTCACTTTTGTCATGTGAAAGAGAAAAGGTCAAGAGGAGTCCGTGGGGTGAAATGTGCACTCGAACCAAGAGGAGCCCAAATCATGAGAAGATGAGAAAATGGTTAAGATTAAAATAGGTTATGATTTCAAATTGCAGTGTTTTTTAGTAAAAAAAAAAAAAAATAAAAAAAAAAAAAAAAAAAAAAAAAAAAAAAATGAGAGGGGAAGAAAAAACAATTAAAACGCCATAGATTCTCCGATTCAATGATTGAAAGGAACCTTCATTGAGATAGATATGAGATGATAAACCATTGTTTAGCAAAACAGATAAGAACATGGCACGTATTTGAAACTTAAGTCCTCAAATTACTTTTAGTCTACTAAACACTTGACAAATAACACGAAATTTTTTTGGAGAGACCAAATTAAAGAGTAAATCAGTTAAGGGGATTGCGAAGTGAAGTTGTTCCATATTGAAAAGTTAATAGACTTTGCACGCGTATTTATAAAGAATTGAGCTATTGCCGTAAATGCTAATTGGTTTTGAGGTAGAACCTCAACCTCCTTAATGATATTAGAGCGGGTTTGCGAACCATCACGAGTGCAAATATTTCATTTTTATTAAACTATTTTTTGATAGATTACCTTGTTCTTATATTGTCTATTGTAGACTTTAGCACTGGTGATAAGAACAAGCTTCAAGCACAAGGAACTATTTGAAAGCAACAAACGAAAGAGAAATTTCGAATTATTGGATACGCATATAGTGTTTAGCTTTTGCACAACTAGCTAGCTAGGGAAATGGGGAAGGTTGGTTTTGGGAGGTAGACTGCTTCATTTCAGAAAAGAAAGTTTCCAATTCCTTTGTCTTATATACCTTAAATTGAGCATGCCCTACTAGTTTTGGGTGGTTCAATGTTGAACTTTTCCAAAAGGTTGAGATCGAATCTCTATCCCAACAGTTGCTATGAACCCACTACTAATAAAACTTTGAAATAATTAATCTACAGTAATCATAGATTATTATATATAATTAATCTTTGTTTTCTTCTTCTAGTTTTTCACTAATTACTATATTGTGATTTGTGCAGTGCATGCACATCGACTAAAACGTAACATTTTGGAAAACCTTAACTTGGGTTTGGAACTTTTCACTTGGATTTATCTGCTGATCATATCCCTTGCACAACACGGTTGTTACAAAATATGCAATGGTCTGTGGAACCAAGCCAAGCCACCTGCTTCTTTTGACCCAATCTAATCCAATCCAATCCCGTAGAAATAGCACTACCATTCAATTCAATCCAGTGAAGCATTAATCAATTGCACATTTCTTAAACTTGGGTATAAGAAGGTGATTGGAACACGTTTGCTTAATTGGTTTGGGCGAGGACAAAATCTGCAATTGCATTTGTAGGGACCATGTGAAGGCAGGGCAGGCAGGCACCAATCTTGAATAATAATAATAATAATAATAATAATAATAATTATTATTATTATTATTAACCCACTGGTTTGCCTAACTAACCCAAATGTGTCATTGTATGGGTCAATTACATGCTCAAAATATAACCAATGTTTTGTCATATTATCTGTCCATGTGAATAAAATGACGGTGTATATGGAAACATTTGGTCCAAGACATAACACATTTTGGTTCTTGGACTTTGCTGTGCACCTAATTAGTTTAATCTCCTTGATTTCATGCCATACAATAAAAAAAACTCCAACCAAGTTCTAAAGCCATAATAATGTGTGACACTTCTGAATCTTGTACATTCATGGTCTATATATCGTCAGTAAAATCAATGGTGCAAGATATTTATGGCGTCCTTTGCATGGAATAAAACAACCAATTATTAAATTTATATCATTTTAAAAGATCATTTTCTCTATAATGTTAAAGATGTCTCAAGTTCGAATATCTACTATCTTATCCCTTGCTTTCCTTGCTTTTTTTTTTTTTTTTTTTTTTTTTCTCTCTTTTGATTTAAATATAACTAAATCCTATCTCTTACATTGGCACCTGATATTTTTCTCATCACCATATATATATTTCCAAGTAAGTTTCTAAGTTAAGCAAACTTAAAATAACCCATGTGCTGCAGTGTGACTTGACAAGGCAAACATGATCATAAGTGAAAGCATTTTTTTTTGGTCTGAACAGTTTAGAACATAAATCAGTGGCATTGGAATGGCATCAATCAAAGGTCCAACAGTACAAGTACACAATTATAGAGAGAAACCATGATTCCTGGCTGCACATATACACACATGAAGAGGACTTTATGAAAAGAGGAATATGGATGCCAAACATTACAGGAAAGATGCTTCCTTCTTGACATGGGCTTTGTTGATAGTCACTCAGAATATTTATATATATATATATATATATTTAAAATGGCTTGGAAATCAGCATTACCAGGGTGTTTTTTTTTTTTTTTTTTTTTTTTTTTTTTTTTTTTTTTTTTTTTTTTTTTTTGATCACCAACATAATTATGGTTCCTCACCGTGCGTGGCCTAAATTAAACAAATCAATTTGATTAGAATCACAAAAGGGCTCCAGATGGAAAGCATGTGTGAATGAGAGTTTCAGGAGAGTGATATTGCTTGTTGAAAGAATCAATATCTTAAATAAGAGACATGTTGAAACTTGAAAGGGATATCGTCAAGCAAAGTTTGACTATTCGGGGGGGGGAAATCATATATGTTTTTGCCTCACCAAGATCACAAATAAACATTTTTAAAAGTTGGGTTGCTTTGATTATCAATACAAGCATTTAAAAACTTGAATGATTTCTGCTTTTTATTGTCAAGATCCCCCTTGGCATCATCTCACCTCTCATTTTATTCTTTTAATAACATGATAGTCATCTGTTTTCTTTTTCAGGTGGCTAATAATTTAGTCTATAGTGAATCTAGATCAATGAGAGAAGGAATCATGATTATTATTAAGAGAGATGAACAGGATGAAGAGCACCGGCCATGATAATGGGGTTGATAAAAATGAAAAGGTGATGTTGAGATGAGTAGAGCCATTGAAATTGAAAGCATTGACAGCCTTGTTTCAAGGGAAGATAGGCTAGAAAGTTTGATGTCCACCAAGAAAGTAGTTGTTGGTTGAGAAGTATATGAAGAAGAAATAAAGCGAAGAAAAAAAAAAAAAAAAAAACACTAGGTATTGATGAGAAACCTACAAAGCTAAAATGCCGCATCAACAAAAGCTTTATGTGCAAAAATTCACAGAAGATGGGATTTCTTTGTCATAATGGTATGTGCCTTTAGAACCCATTTGCGATTCTTTTCATGAGGGCACCAGCAAACCACCCAAACTAATCAGACTTTGATTCAAAGACAAACAATGAGAAAAGGATACTACTAGTAATAACATGTTTATATTTCAATAATTAATGAATTATATCCATTACCAAATGAGAAATTAGCTACCTAAAATTTAGGCGAGAGATGTAAAACTTATTTCATATAATGATTCTTACATAAAATCAACAATTGTCGTCCATGAGACTTTTTCATGCACGGCCAGTGTAATGTGCAGAGTATTCACATAACACCAGGTGGGGATCACTTTTGAATAAAATCATGGGTAGTCTCAAACCAAAGCTCAAATTAAAGGAATTAGATTGGTTGTTCGTACTCTTGTATCTTCCCAATTTAACTTTCTTGCTTCTAGACACAACTGGCCAACATCAAATCAAATTTAGTGTGTCTTTCATGTGTTTTATTTTGTGATTTGATCCCACTTTGGATGCTCGCTTTATGCTAATTCCTAACAATTCACACTTTTAGTATTGCTTTACCAAATAATATATAATCCTCTTTTGTCCAAGCGACACACAAGAAAGCAAAGCAACCCTAAATTGCGACTTTGAGAAAAGAAAACAAGAAAAAGAAAAATATTGTATGAAGTCGGCATTTGGGAATTGGGAGATGGCACAAGATATCATTTGAAAACCAGTATTCCAAATTGGGGGTTTCTTGAAAGTTTGAGAGTATGGAGATCACAAGAAAATCTCTGTGCCTATTTGACCCACTTTCTTAGCTCATACAGGTTTTCTTTATTTAATTGTGTTGAAATGTTTGGGTGGAAGAATCCTTCAGTTGCCTATGTAAAAGTCAAATTTGTGAAAGTCGACCAAAATAGAAGCCATCTGGGTATTTGACCACAAATTTTCTCAAGAATAATAACACCACTTTTTTGTTTTTGTTTTAAGTTTTCTTGATTACATAAGCACACAACTAAACCCTGGTTGTATTCTCTAAATTTAAGGCTGTTTTTCATCCCATTATCACAGGATACAGGCTGGGGAAGCTTAGTGAATTACCAATGTCACCCCAAAACGATATTCTAACTACCCTAATGTATGGAGAAGAGATGAAACTCGAGTGCAACGGGTGGACGCATTGCGATTAGCCAACTGGCCTAACCCACATCTCCCAATCTTCTAATTATTTAGTAAGGCTAAAAGGAGGAAGCAGGCAGAACCAAAGCATCACAACAATAAGCATTAGTTTATTTGTTTGAAAAAGAAAAATGCTTTTGCCTACACTCAATATGTTACAGAAAACAGCTATCAAGATGAAGAATCATTAGCCTACCCAAAGGGTCATTGGCTTCATGCAATTTGCATTGTTACATTAAAACAAGAAAAATCAGTTACCATTGTTGGATCCAAATTGAAAATGTAAATTTGAAGCAACTTCTAAGCATCCCTTGATTTATTATTGACTAGAAAGGAAACTCTAGGAAAAAACTAAATTAATCTATGGCACCTCCCTCAAATCATAGATCCTCTAAATTGACTAGTAAGTCCAAATCCTACGGCAAAATCTTACCTCTAAGTCTTTAATCATAAACCTTGTATATGCTCAAGGGAAGCGAAGTGAGTGTAGACAATATTGAGAGTTTCTTGATCGATTTCGGTGGCGCTAACAACTTTAGGAAATGAATAATTCGACTCTTTTTGGGGTTCCAAATCATTCTTTGTAGCCTGTTTCTCTTCAGATTCTGATGTACTAGTCAATTTATGTTCCTTAAAGAGCTGAGATTTCATCTCCAAGCACAACTTCAGATCCTCCTCATTTCGGGCCTTGTTCAGCTTATCAATGAGATCGCCTAGAGCAGAAGCCCTTTCGGCCCGCCATTTTTCCCCTTCTTTGGGCCCCTGATCCAATCCAGTTCCCACAATTGGTTCCTTCTCCCCATCATCTAACTCACGTTTTTTAAGTTTCATTAATCCCTCATCAACAACTTGCTGTATCCTCTTTCTGAAGTTATTGGTTCTCATTGGATTTGATCTCAACTTCAACTTCAACCCTGAGACCATAGCCTCAGTGTCTTCTTCTGTAGTAGCAGTAGTACTATTATCGGTTGATATGGATTTGAGTTCAGCTTCATCCCCAATGGACTCCTCCATGATAGATTTCACAGAAAACACTTCCTCTAATAGGGTGACATTCTGCATGTATCGATCAAAAGCTTCATTTTCCACTTCGATGTTTCTGTCCTTGTATTCCTTTAGCTTGGAAAATCTCCACTCATTAATAGCTACAGCATCCTGAAATTAATTCCTATAATTAGAACAGGCCATTCTCACTGCAAATAGTACAAGAACAAATAGATAGTGCCAAGGACATGCACCTTTTTGGTCAAAGGCTTCCTAGAACGAAGGGGAAGATGCACATTATTGAATTGAGCAAAATTGTTCGAAAGTTGCCGGAGTGATGCAACTCGATGTGAATTCCTGAAACACAGCTAACAATTTAAGAAAATCTACATCCAGAACAAAAACAGAGTTTGCTTTGAAGACCCCCAAAGAATTAGTAACTGAAATGTTCAGGACAGCCAAGTTAAACAAGACAAAAATAAATTTGAAACATGGAAAGTTCATAAAGCAATTATTAAAGGGTAGGGGGATTTTTTTTCCCCAAAAAAACATCAAAGTTTGACCACAGAACATAATCTGTAGAAATCTTTGAGCCGATTTCCTTGCATAGAAAGATTTGACTCATTAAATCAGCAAGTATTACAAACTCATGTTCAATTTAGGTCCTTGGTGAATTAGACTATAAATTGGCTGAGATTCCAACAATTTTTAAGAAATCTGACCATAGTATATACATGGTAGAAGAGCAATGCAATTTTCTAAGGAAAACAATTTAATGACCAAAATTTTAGAGAAAAAAAAGCATAGATTACAATTATCAGAAATATAACCAGATATAACAACGGGAGACTGATGTTAAGAACTCACCCTGATGGTGATGCCTCAATTGATTGATGGTCAAATAGAGGAGAGCTTGAGGTTGGTGCCTTGTCTGGAAATGTTGCATTTGATTTCAAAACTGCAGTGGTAATACAGTCAGAAAAGAGAAACCAAAAACAAGGTCATGCTACAGAAAGGATGAAACACCCACCCTAACCGCTAGAACTACCCATGCCAACCCAAACCATATGGTGACTCAATGTAGATCAGTTCATATATTTGAGTAAGCAACAAACGAAGTTTGCACGCTTGGTTATATCATCAAAAAATTGGACAAAACTGATGAGCGTTGTCTTTTCATAACAAACAAGAATTATATTGAAAAGAGAAAAGCAAAGAATAGAATAAGATGGCAAGAAGTCCATAGGATCAAAAGCTTAAACGTACAATTAAATCCCTTACAATGCATCATAAGTAACAGACAACCTGCAAGAAATCGTGCAAGAAAATGCCCAAATGAACTCAACATCCTACCCTTATCAATACACCATCACTGTCTTTTGTGTAGCATAAATGAGCCATTGATGATTCTGACATGCACAAGCTAATTCACACTTACTGTATGCATAGGCAAGCTTCCTAAGTGAGCAACTATAATCCAAATGTTACATAACCAATCTTGTCCATTGACAACACAGATTACCCTTCATGCCTATAAGCATATTGTTACCCACTAGCATGGCCAAAACCAAACCAATACCACACTGGCTCCAGCCTACTCTGGTGGTCGCTAGAGGCCCCACAAATATCTAATGTTTCATCCAAACATTGCGTTACACAGAAGGTCTTAGTGCTAGCAATCCTGTATTGCTGACACTGTCCATTATGCTTCCAGCATTCGAGAGACACTAAACTCCTCTCATTATTCCCCAGAGTCCTCTCTAAGATTCCAACATTGCCACAGGTATCTTACTCAGTGCACACAACACAAGTGACTGCATGGGTGATGGAAAAGAGTACTACGCACCCTTATGAGAGTTTTTTAAGCTATCAGCCTTCTTCCTTGAAGGAAACATTAGAGTAACCATTTTGGAAAATAATAATTGAAATACGTAAATTGGCAATTGTCAATTTTTCCCCATTACCACTCACCACAACAGTCGCTACATTTTTACTAGATGGCCGCGCAGTCTGACATAGCCATCAGCTCATCACCCTTTTTGAACCATGACATTTTACTACCTAACCTAGCTGGCAAAATTGAACCCCTCAAAAAGCTACAGTAGTTATCATCACTCTTCCCGATATGAAATTTATTACCATCCATACCAAAGTCTCTCTACATCAACCATTTCTTAAGCATTTTACTACACTGCCAGAGAATAAAAGAATAGATAGCAACCAAATAAATGTAGAAAATTACCAGCATGCATTGCTAGAATTAATTCTAAAGCATTATATAGTCAGTAAGACACATCCAGGCTAGCATAAAAAATAAGTAGGGCAGTATAAGTGGACAAGAATTTATGGGACAATGGATGAGCTTCCCAACTAAAAAAGGGAAAACTAGGTTACTTGCCAATATGCTTTGAATCTTCACATTAGTGTTGGAAACCATACAAACAATAGCAAACAACAACAAATATATATATATATATATATAATTATCCAATGTTCCGAATACCCACACACTTGAAGGTAGAGATGTTTTGATAAGGTATAGAGACTAGAATTAACATACCGTGAATATGACATGGATTTTGAGCTTTTGAGCAGCAACTCTTGCATGACTCGTATGGACACCTGGACATTCAATTCAGCTCAACAAAATGATCACAGAAAGAAAAGGATATTATTCTAAAAACAATAAATATTTTCAACAATAAAGGTGAATGAAAAATATAACAGTGTGTCTGAAGCAAAAAACAAAACTTCCTAAAACATCTTCAACAATATCAAGGTACAAATTAATCCACTACGGCCTATCTCCTAATGGGGCACAAAGGAGAAGGATCATAACTGATTCTAACAAAGAAAACCATATTAGGATTTGCCTTAGTGAGAGCTGTGAACAATACCTCACATAGTAACTTGATTCTTTCTTGCAGATGGTAATGAAAATGGATTATCTCAAGTTTTTAAAAGTGCTTCAGATGGTGATTGAACAAATTTCAGGAATGGCTGAAAATTTAAAACTTGAAAATTAAAAGAAAAAAATAATAATGTTTTTTTATGAAACTAAATTTTATTAAAGAGCTCAAAACACAAAACAAGACGCAGTGAATCAGAGGTCCGCCATCCCAAGGAATCAACATGGACCCAAGAATGCCAGATACAGAAGATAACGACACTCTGATGAACTCCAAGTAATTTGCTAGAAGAGGGTACACCTCCTTTCATCTTCCATATCTAGTATTTCTTGTTCTTTCGGTCCAAACAAATAACTTCATATGTAATAACTTTCTGAATGTTTCTTCAAGTCTGTTTAGGATGCATTCTAGTGAAAGATCCCGAATCTTGTCTAACAATAACTACAGCAGCATTCTTTGCATGCGTGATAGATAACTTTCTAATTGCAGAACTTATTTAGTATGTAATGGTTACTGCATCAACTATATTACAATAATGCTTGATGCACCACAATTTTATACCATAACCAGCTTATGTGGCAGCTAAGTTATGCATGCCACATCAATTTAGGGCTCATTTGGTGCCTGGGATAGGATTGGATTGGATTAGATAACTCACTAGATTTAAGGCATGTTGAATGAAGAAATGAATAAATTTTGTCCAAGTTGAAGGTAGAAGATGGATCACTCATGAAGGAAACTTATCCCATCGAATCCCCACAAAATGGTAGATACCAACATGTCATAACTCATCCCTTTTAATGCCCACAAAATAAAAAATCATTCACCTCCACCTTCATTTCCTCCTTCAATATACCTTAAATCTAGTGAGTAATCTAATCCAATCCAATCATAGGCACCAAACGAGCATGAGACAGATTAGTGAGAACTAATTTCATGGTATAAAAAAAGACGGATAAAAGGAAAAGAGATCTAATGTGAGAAAAGGTTGAGACTTGGATCTGCAAAAGGAAAAGAGATCAGATGTCTAATAAACATACGTGAATAGATCTAATTCTGTGTGAAGAGACTAGTCATGAACTTCCAGAAGCAACCATACTCGCCATCAAGAAAGCATGAGTTCCGATATGGTAATTCATCGGTGAAAATGAGATATGATCTGCAAAATCAGATCTTCAAATGTACAGCACTGAAAGAATGTGTATACGGATCAGACACAGAATCCAGAGGTAGAATCCTCTTGTTCTTTACCACTTTTTATATTTGTTTTCACCATTAACTGATACGATTGATGGACATCCGACCAGTGGGGGGAATGAGAGAGGGGATGGATAGAAAGACACTAGAAGTAGGCCTGAAAATTTTAATTGGTCTTTTTAGTTAAAAGGAATAAAAATTAATACCTAGCTAACTCATTAAGTACTTAACTACCGTGGCATCTCCAAGTTAGCTGCCACAAAAGGTGGTCTTAAAATATGGCATAAGATTGTGGTGTGTCTAGCAATATTGATAATATTATGATTTCACCAAAAATTCCAAAATTTTTTTATTTTATTATTATCACAGGATTCCAACTAACATTCAGAAGCATTTTTATTTCATGGCATTTGCACAGCTCATGAAAGTTTACCCCAACTACCTAGTTTTCAGACCCATAAATGAATATTTTAACTCGCTTATCTTCCCTAGACCTCCCCTACTTCATTGAGAAGAAGGGGTTATTCTGTCAATTATCAGCTTCATCAAAGCCCTAACCCATTTCAATCACGTCATAATTGAACCAGAAAAAGTTGTGAACTCCCATCAAGTTAATCTTGTAGGCACAAGAATAGCATGGCAACAGATTCTACCAAGATCTTCACAATCCAAACTAGCAAAAAGGTCTAATTATTCTTGCAAAGATGCCGTTCAGATGTGGAACATCTGTTGTTTTTTACATTCTAACAGTCCCCTAACATCTGAGCCTTTCCACCGCCAGAGAACCAAACACATAGAATTAATTCAACATACATTGAAAGTTTCCAGATGCATGGATCTGAATTCAGCATCTTCAGCTCTAATACAATAATAAGTTACATTGGTTAACTACTCTTCCTAAAGTCTAAGCTAACAGGACATAGACCGACTATAATTTGCATATTCTACTAATCGTAATGTGAAATTGAAACCACAACTCCAAGACGCCTCCTCATTACACCGTGAGGCATAGTTACATTAACATTTTGAATGCTAATTACTTGCCTTCAAAACCATAAACAACATCAATTTCTGGGCAGGAATTAAATTCCCTCAAATTAATTACCAAATCGGACAACCACAAACATGGCAGTTCTTCAAAAATTGTAGATCGTACTCTTTGATTTTTCAAAATTCAAGACAGTTGTGCAATCTTGACCACAAAAACAAATAATACTACCTTAAAGTGTGAGCCTCTCTGCCACTAGAGAGCCAATCACGTCGAACTAATTTAACATAAACTGAAAGCTTGCAGTTGCATGGATCTGAATTCAGCATCTTCAGCTCTGATACCATAATAAATTTCGTATGGTTACTTGGTTTACAACTCTTCCTAAAAGTTAAAGCTATTAGGATGCAGACCGAATATTGTTTCTCTATTCATTAACAAAACAATACTGATCATAATGTGAAATTGAGACCAGAACTCCAAGACACCTCCTCATTCCAGCTTCTCCAAGGTTTATATACATGTGCGTGTGTGTATATATGCACACCACCTTCAGCCATAGTTAAATTCGCGCTTTTTACAGCATCAATCTTATATCTAGCTGAACCAAAGTCCTATTTCACTAAAGTAAACGACGGACAAAATCACATCAATTTCTATCCCAAAGATTTCAATTCACTCATTTAATCACCAAAACCGCAAATGAACCACCAGAAACAAGGCAGTTCTTCAAAAACAAAAACAAAAATCACATAACCATGCGGCCAGGCTAGGGCTCCAAAATTAATTGTGCAGAAATAGAATTCAACAGTCATTAAAAAATATTTATATATAAAAGGAGATTTACCGGGAACGAGCGACATTGCCGCACTGCTTACACTTGGGCTTGTTAAGCCCGCGAAGGGTCTTGGGTGGCGTGTCCGTACGGTGCACCGTCTGGAACGGAGCGACGGCAGGCACGGCGGCGGTGGCGGTGGTCGCAGCGGTGGAAGGAGTGGCGCCGGAGCTGGTGCTGCTTAGGGCTGGCGAGGGCGAAGGGGCTGTTGCTGCCATAAGAGCGCCAAATTGGTTTTGTATTATTTGAAGCGGTGGTTTATGAATTCAAATTAGAGAGGTGAAGTTGAGGAATTAGAAGAGTGATTTGTTGGCATTTTAATTTTTGTTTTGGATTTTGATAAAAATAATTTAGTTTTAAAAAGAAGTTAAAATGAAGGGGGTTCTTTTCTTTTGGTTTCACTGTCGGAGGGAGAGGTGCAGCGGAGTTTGTGTTCATTTAGGGATCGGTGTGGGTTTTTAGGGCTGGTGGGGGTGAGGTGGCATGCAGGAGTCTCAATGGGCCGGGTTTTAAAAGCGGTCCTCGGATCTGGCCCAATTTAATTTAAGGATCTAATTCTTCACTAGTTTTTTTATTTTATTTTTTTGTAAGATTCAAAAGGAATTCTCTTCTACTCACAAGTCAGACTCACAGCCCTAAATTTTCAAAATCCAACCGATTGGAGTTGACTTTTATATCTTGGATCATTCACCCAATGTATTGGCTCTTGGTTGGGTGAGATTCAAAACGACTCATACGTATATCATATCTGATTGGGGAATCATCTCATGACTCGTGAAATATGAAATTTACAAAAGAACCCAGACAAAGCACTGAGGCCCATAAAACGATCATCAATAGGGAGAGCTTTGAGCAACCTACCTTACACACCTTCTGCAATATAATCTGTCAATCCAACCAAAGAAGACGTCTATTTTACTAGGCTAGACAAGATGTAGACAAAAGACGTCTTACACCCTCCCAGGCAATGCCCACAGTCCCATATTGAAATCCCACTTAAGGTGCACACCTCACAAGATCTATAAATAGGAGTGCAAATTCCCAAAATGAGGTAAATGTTTCATTTAGCTACTTAGCCCTTACTGGCCCTTAAATGTTTCATTCGGCTCATACCTTACACACATTATCGACATGGTGAGCCTTCTGCAATATAATCTGCCAACCAACGAAAAAAGGCGCATGTTTTACCAGGCTAGACAAGTGTTGGTCCGTTGCAAATCTCGCGGCCTAGTGCTCCGGGCCGAGGGGATGTGCGTCAACACGTGACGTCCTCCTTTTGGATGCGGTGCGGTTGTGCGTGGGCGTGCCAGCATGGTCTACCGTGCGTCGAGGTGATGATGAGATTCGGGTAGAAAATGGTTTAAATGTTGCGCCTGTTTTGCGTTCGACTCCTAATCAAATGATTGTGACCGAGTGAGGGACGAATTTCGGCTGTCAGGTTCACGGCCTGAGCTACAAGGCCGTTTAGTGGTGGTGTTGGTGGTGGGTTTTTAGGCGGTGCTCCGGCGCGTTGCTCAGAGAGCTACGGTCGTATGATATATGGGGTGAATGAGGCGATAACAGAGGTGGTGCTCCGGCGCCTTGAAAATCAAGGGTCGTATGATATATTGATGAATGGATTTTCCTTACAGTCTACCACTACTCCTAATAAAGCAAATAAAGGTATTGAAAGTGCATTACAGAAAATATAAGTTGCTCCGTGGGAGGCTTTTGGTTTGGTGTTTGAACCCTTTGAATGTAGTCCTGAGCTTAGTATTTATAGGAGTCCCGGAAGGACATTCGAGGCTGACAAGACCTGCGTGGTGGAGCCTGGCGGGGCAAGTGGATAGTCAAATAGGCATTTGGGATCGTGAAGCATAGTGGTCTAGAGTTGAGAAGCATTGTGGACTCTGATCGGGGCAAGTGGGTAGTCAAATCGGCATTTGGGATTGGGAAGCATGGTGGTGTGACCCCCATAAATCTCGGCATTATGAATGGAGATAACAGCATGGGGCAAAGTGGAACACAAAACCTTGGTCAAGGAGGTTAAGTGGGCCATTTTAACTTTCGGAGGGTAAAATGAAATTTGACCAAAGTTTCAGGGGGTACTACAGTAAATAAGCCTTCTTCTTATATCACTTATTACGTAAGGGAGACGAATGTAGAAGAAACAAGGAGAGGATGATATGTACATCTAGACCTGACATTCGTGTCGTGTTAGCAGTGTTTGTGTCAACCCGCTTTTCTTAACGGGTTGACACGACACGACCCGTTAAGAAAATGGGTGGAAAATATCAAACACAAACACGACCCATTACAATTTACGAATTACACGACACGACCCGTTTCAATTGTTAAGAAATAAAAAATATATTAAAACTGAAAAAAAAAAAATTGAAACCAAGTACAAAACCACTGCGCAACCTTCTTCACCAATCTCACATTCTCTCTCTCAAAAAAAAAAAAAAAAAAAAAAAAAAAAAAAAACACGATCATAAGCACGTTACATCCTAATTTCATCAAATTTCCAAGTATTCCAAATCCAATCAAGCTGCAAATTTTTTTTTTAAGTCAATTCAAAAAAAAAAAAAAAAAAAAAAAAAAAGAAGAAAATAGTAAGAAGGGAGTTTTCAAATTAAGGTTGGTGATGGGGTGGTGGTGCGACTGGATTTGGCCAATGAGGGTGTTGCTCCAATTGAATTTGCCGATAGGGTTGGTGTTGTGGCTGTGGGATGGATGAGTACAAAATTACCCCTACTTAACGGGTAGGTTCGTGTATTCGTGAATAAACACGGAATCGATCTGTTAGCTTAATGGATGATTAATGAGTCAACACGACATGATAATTTGAATCTGAATACTAAATTTTTTTTACAAATTTGTATCGTGTTAACAAATCGTGCGCAATATTACCAGGTCTTTATACATCGTTGAATACCAACACACCAAACCAGACTTGCATTTTCAGTGGCAGCAGTAGAACCTTGACGAAAAGAGGATATGCGTTGACTAGAGTGGATAGTGGATATCGCGCCATAACATTTTACGTCCCATAAATAATGCTAATCTCCCAAATCCAACTTTCCGTCGTATTATTGGATTCGTTCTTTTTGTTTTGTCGTCTTTTTATGGGCAACAAAACAAAATTGATTTTGTTTGGCCTCGCTTTCACAATCAACGACATGAAGCGTTTGATTCGTATTTTTTATTTATATTGCGATGTCTATTGACTAAAGCACAATATTAATAAGCATTATTCACTTTTGAACTCTGATGGCCAAACTTTTCTTTAATTGGATAGTCAAACAATTTTAGTCTGGCAAGTCTACACCAAGAAATTTCGTGAACACAAAACTTATCACCATATATATATATATATATATATAATGTATATTATACAACTTAGTTTGCTCTGAAATATCGATTGCGTTCTAATTATGAAAATTGCAGTCAAATTATATGATGAGAAAGATAAACACAAAATCGTATGTGATAGGTTGCAAATACGAAATAACTCAGATATTTTTGGGCAAAATATATCCCAAAGCAAATGATTTAGAACAGTGGTGCAAGGTATGTATGTAAACTGGTTGACATGGTGGACTGATTCGCACATCAATATGTGAACATGTGTGGACTGATTGGCATATTTATACGTAATGTTTGTATATTATTAGGTCATATCAATGTGAACATGTGTGGACTGACTGGAGACAACAAAAATTCACAACTCTTGTTTTTTTTTTTGATTGAAAAAAAAGGTAAGAAAAACAGACAAAGAAAAAGGAGCCGCTAGGAACTCCACCACCTACCTAATACGTCCATTTGAATGGCTACTTGCAGAGGCGCACAATCCATCCAAACGTGTTGTTGATATGGATGATATTTGAGACTTCATAAACAATTTATTTTGGCACTAGTTAGCTATGCATTGTATTTAATACTTTATTTTGAAGCAGCAATATGCCATGCTCGCACTAAAGAGGTGGACCATTCCCAATTTCCCCACCCATTAATTTACTTATGCTCCCTATCATTTTCATTTTTTCAGTGTATAAAAAGATTGTTTGGTTAATAAAAACACCAATTCAAATGTTATAATTGGTTAGGCCAACGGGCCTACACTAATGGAAAATGACATTAATTTGCGAACAAGACGTTTCAGGTTCAAATTCCTATAGCTTTTTAATTGTATGTATATGTGTGTAAGAGAAATCATCTTCCCCTATTGTTTGTACTAAAAACAATTGTTATAATTGGGTGGATGACATGATTCGTTTATGTTATAGATGTGGTTAGTGCTAAATAGCCAAATTCTGTCGTAGTATGGTCTACCAAATGTGCCCACAGAGTATAATATTACAATAATGTTATTGGACCACATTTAATGACTACATTACTCACCATCTCTTTAATAGATGTAGACTTTATTAGTGTATATGGGATCTACCTATATTATAGAGGTGATCAGTAAATATGGTCCAAATAGTTACGCCTATAATATTATTAGTAATATGAGTGAATTATTAATACCATGTAGCGCTATCACCGTCGTGCGGAAACATTACTCGAATGTTTTTTCCGCAAAACAAAATAAACCGACATGTTATGTGTGAAAAATCTAGAAAAAAAGTAGGAAAAGCAAGGCACTTTTCTCATTAGGCTTTGCAGTACGGATGGCCAACTTGTGTAGACAGTGAGCTACCGCGTCAACTCTCTCTCAAGTACATCTATCTCAAGAACCAAAATCCACGTCAGTCAGTCCACGGTGGGTCCCACTGGCGTCGACGTGCCGGCTAGGCCTCTTGCCCGCAGCTGACGTCCTGTGGTTGACGCAACTATGCACCAGCTGTCGACGCATAAGCCCTCCTCTCCACCCACCCCTTATCCGCTTGAGATCAGATCGGATGGTCCAAAACCAGCGGGCAAAAAGAACACGTCATCAAATCTCAAATCAATCATGAAGGGATGGGGACAAATTAATCACCAATTTACCAATGCCCATTACCCACGTTACATTAAGGCCTAGGGGTCATGGACCCCACCCACCCCAAAATGTTATTTATTTTATTTTTTGTTTTCAAAACGTGTCATTATTATTTTTAAATGATTTTGAAACTTTATAATAGTGAAAAGTCATGAAAAAAAAATATTGTATTACATTTTGTGGAAAAAATGGGCTTGGTGATGTGATGTGCATGATGATGATTTGATAATATGACGCACATGATGATGCCAAAGCACTAATTAGTGTCCTAGTGAGCTAAACTTATACTCTTTTTTTTTTTTTTTTTTTTTTTTTTTTTTTGGGGGACGACGATTTTCATGTCTAAGACTTGAGATTTTAAAAGTTTGTTTAGAAATGTTGATATTTCAATGATGAGTTAAATATTAATGTTAGTTGCGTTTTATTGTTGACTCCCACAATCGTGTACAAAAATATTGCAAATACCATTGATGATAGCGATATTTGCACTTCTACATAGGATTGTTTGTATAAAGTGATAATAGAGACTTTCGATCCTCTATATGCACAAGTGGATCGAAATATAAAATACAAGTATATCAAATACATAAATATTTAAGAGTTACATTATATCAAATACATAAGTATTTAAGAGTTACATTGTAGAGTTAAATATTTCTAATTTAGTCATATCTAATTTGTTTTGAAGAGGCACTCATGGCACAGACCAGAGGTGGCTGTGGCCTCAAAATTCTCATTAACTTCATTGAAGTTTTTATATAAAACTTGAAAATCGGTATGTAATTTCATATCTTTTTCAGCTATTGATCCCCCAATAGTTAAATCCTAGCTCCGCCACTACCACCACCACCTCCATAAGAAAATACGCAAGAATACAAGTCTTATTTTACTTTTCCATAAGAAATTTCTCCAAGTGATTGGCAAGTTGTCAATTCAAAGGGGTATAGTTTGTTTTGTTGGAAGGATTATTGTTTATAATTTAAAGGACTATATTCCTTTCTTAATCAACATTTCTATAGATGTTTAATGAGCTAGCATGCATCATGGTATTGTTTTGATGCTGCAAATAATGCTAGAGAAACTACTTAAATATTATTTACCACTTCAGCAAGACACTAATCAAGTTGAAATTGAAATTAATTAATTAATTAATTGATATTTCCCAACTAAAACACATCTCAATCATCTCATCAAAGATTCAAATTTGTGTCTTCCATCCAATCCTTTTTAATTTTGTTTGTGCTCGTTGCTTAAATTAGAGCACACGGAAACTACAAGTCTTCCAAAACTCCAAAACCAAAGTCCTCCTCACTTTAAAAGCAAAATATATTATTTATTATGATCTAATGTTAAAATATGGCATCAAAGTCGATGGTCCAGGAACATTTGTGGGAACAAGTTGATAAATAATGTTAACCAATTGTTGCTTTTTTTTGGTATCTTGTGGGGCCCACCCCAGCAGGGTAAATAAGTGTTGGTGGACAGCCAGCCTGCCTACCGAAAATAGTCGAACATATTTTGGTCGTATAACAAAAAATGGGATCTGAAGAAAATATATGCACAACTTCTTTTGTCGTGGAAAAAAAAAACCTAAATAAATAAAACATAAAGGTGATTTCCTGTCCTATTTATTTATATTTTTACCCTGTAAGGTAGGACCACTACTCCATTTTTTCATTAGATTTTCAATATGTATATTCTCATATTTCAATATCTTTTTTTTTTTATCGAAGTTAAGAAGGGGAGAAGGGAACTCACACACACGGATACCATGTTACTTGGAAGCACACCAAAAACTTGTGACAATCCAATTAACACGCCGTTGTCATTCGTTCAATATCTTTAATTTTATAATTCATATTTTACTATCTAACTGGATTTTCTTATTTACTAATTTTTTTTTAAAAGTTTATCTAATGAAGTTACTCTTTGATAAAATAATAATAATAATAATACAACTCCTTTATGAAGAGAACCAAAAGGTATTCTATTGTTGGTTTCATCCACAATGTTATCTATTGATCCCAACTATCTAATTTTTAGATCTCTATTCAAGAATTATCATTGAAACAACTATCCTGACAACTATAGCACTAATGGATCAGTGGTCTTAGGTTTAAATTCTCATGCCACTTTGGTGGTGTGTGTGAAAAACTATTTTCATTCTTGTAGTTTAGACTATCATTTGTATTAAAAAAAGAATACATTTTTGTCAACGGGTTCTAGCCTAATGAAAAATGACATTTCCTTATAGTGGTCTCAGGTTCAAACTCTCATAACACCTTACTAGTGTGTGTGTGAGAAATCTCCATTCACTTTTAGATTTTTTAGGCTCCCTTATCTCTCAGGGGAGGTAAATCGGAGCTGAGGGTAGCCCTCGTTAACGAAAAGCAGCTAAGACGGCTCTAGTTGTTCCAAGTGATTATAAAGAATTCAAGATAGTTTTTTTAGATTCAGAAAAAAGAATACATTTGAAATCCGTGAACATCGCAACAATTTTTAATTCTTTTAAAACCCTTTTGTCAATCATACATGTAAAAAAAGAATAGAAGAGTTCTTGTTTTGTCGGCTAGGTACGTACTTTCTCATGTTGCAAATTAAAAAGAAAAGGTAATACTAGTATATGCACCGCCCAATGGCCATAAGACACCTCTTTTGTATTTTGTGACTATTACAATATCTTATGTGGTAATATTTTCTTTGTATTATGTTGATGTTTATTTAATTTTTAATGAGATTTCTCTTTCCCCTAAAGAAAGCAGTTTTAACATGTACTGAAAATTGTTCATAGACAAAAAATTTGAGGAAGGGTAGTGGCCATTCTTGATAGTGAGGGTAGTGGTGACAGTGAAGGTGAAGGCTAAGGTTGTGTCATCAGTAATGGCTTAATTGATCACGTGCAAGAATTGAGAAAAAGTTGTTAAAATTCATGGCCCGATTCTTCCATAATTCATATTTTTTCGACACATTTTAAGCACCTCACCCAATTATTATTGTTGGATGAAAGTAAATTTTTCGACGCACATAATATATTATTTTCTCAGTTTAGTCTCTATTAATATAAGATATTATTGGCGCATAAGATATTCATCTTATGCTGCTAATAGTGACATGTTCGTAATTAATATAATCTTTTGGCCAATTTTAGAGGCTGATAAGAGTATCTCCAACCGAAATGCCAATTCCAACGTGGCAAGTTTTAACCCAAAAAAAAGACATTTTAAGCCTTCCAACCGTGATGCCAAATCCTAGTTGGATTGACATCCTTCACTTTTGCTGTCAAAATTGACGCCAAGATGTTGAGATGTCTTTTTATTTTTTATTATTATTTTAATACTGAGCCCACTTTCTTCTCTCCTCTTTCATGTAGAGTTCTTAACTCTATTTAATATTTTACTTTTAAATATCGGGCCCACTTGCCTTTAAAAATAATAAAATAAAATGTATATTTGACATCTTGGTTGGATAAAGAGTTTTACAATATGTCAAATTGCCACATCAGCCATCAAATTTAAATTTGATGTTTGGTATTTGACATTTCTCTTGGAGATGCTCTAAGTTTGAAGTAAACACCATCAAAATCTACCACTTTTAGAATATTCTTCAAATCAACGACATTTTTTTTCCTCGAACTTGAGTGTCAAGCAGGGTAAAGGGGGAGGCCATCGTTGTAGTGTCTGCTCTCGACAATAACATTTTGAATATATCTAGATTAAAGTCCTTCAAAATTTAATAAAATCCCAATTTTAAAGTCCTTTAGATAGCACCCAATATCTATTGTATAAAAAGAAAAAGAAAAAAAAGACGCAAAAGTATTTATAACGAAAAACAAAAAAGAAAAAAAAAAAAAAAATAAAAAAAAAAAAACCAAAATCCTTCCAACCAAGCCAACCAACCAAATAAAACCAAACCCACACATTGCATTTACCACCTTCCCTTCCTCCTACTCTGTCTATTCGTCTCTTTCTCTCTCTCTCTCTGCAAAACCACTGTTTGTTTCTCTTCAGTTGCAAACATGGCGGAATCGGTGGAGCTTCCGAGTCGACTCGGTATCCTTCCTTTCAAAAACAAGGTCCTCTTACCAGGCGCCATCATTCGAATTCGCTGCACTTCACCCAGCAGGTACCTTTAAACGTAGAATTTCTCCTTTTGATTGCTTTCTGTTCCTTTAAATTGTTTTTCTTGTTGGGTTTCTGAGAAAATTTGTGCATACTGAAGTGGGTAGCTGTTTGTTTGAATTCAGCTGAACCTTATAGCTATGCAATTCTTCTGCTTGTTTGGAAATTATGTTTCCTTCATTCTCGATAGGAACAAAATGGAGGAATACCTTTCATGTTCTTCGTCGTGAAAGATTGTCTGGTCTAGTTTTTTTTTCCTTTTGATGGTATTTTCCATCTATTTCTGTGATCAAATGTTGTGCATATTTTGTTGGTGTGGAAACTCAAGATATTTTGTTTTGCAATTTTGTTACTAGTAATTTCAAATGCGAACTTCCTTTTTCTCGTAGAATTTGGTTTTGCGTCATTTCAGGTAATTGATCATTATGTAGGTGTGGAATTGTGAATTTGTGAGTGCTGGATTATGGAATTGATGGAAGTGGTGATTTTGATTAATGTAGTGTCAAATTGGTGGAGCAAGAGTTATGGCAGCGTGAAGAGAAGGGATTAATTGGTATTCTTCCCGTTCGAGATGCTGCTGAGGCGGCTTCAGTGGCTCCTGTGTTGTCTCAAGGTGATTTCTGCTGATTTTTCTTTTTGACTAGGAAGAAGGGGTGCTTATATTTAATGGCAAATCTGAGAGGGTGTCTCTTGTAATTTGTCTAATTTTAGGTGTGGGAAGTGAATCTGGAGAACGAGGCTCGAGAGTTCAAGTTAGTACATCTGATTCTCACAGGCCAGATGGAAAAAATCAGCAGGAAGTTATTCATTGGCATACCAGGTACATGAATCAAAATTGAATTTTGTTGCGTAGTGGAAAGTGTTTGGCTTTTTTGGTGCTACTACTTAAAATTACAGCTATCAGGGTGGTCCATCTATTTATGTTATGCGTTGTAATTTTCTTTGATCAGTTTAACTGCCCTTTAATTCTTCAATGGGCTGCCACAATTTTTCGACTCAGCCTACATTTCACTGACTTTCTGTTTTCTGTGTATAACTCCATCTTATTCATATGTTTTTCATTTGGAGTTTTTGCACTTTGTAGTTATATACTAATTTTGTTGCTAATATTTGATATTTATATTCTTAGGGGAGTTGCTGCACGTGCTTTACATCTCTCAAGAGGAGTTGAGAAGCCGAGTGGGAGGGTTACATATGTAGTCGTCCTTGAAGGTTTGTGTAGATTCAGTGTCCAGGAACTTAGCACAAGAGGAACATATTATACTGCACGGATATCTCCTCTTGAAATGACAAAGTCTGGTATGTTGCCAATTTAGTATGTGGATTTGTTTTGGTAGAAGATATTAGGGTTTATTGGTTGATTTGCTAGTTCTGGTTTGAAACATACCTCATGTTGTTGTTTCTTTGATTTGTTTTTTCTTTTCCGATTCAGTAAGAAGAAATTGTCTTCATAATTCAAATGCTAAGTGTATGTTTTATGTACCCACTAACATTTATACTACGTTTGGTTATGTGTGTGGCCCTGGTTCATTAGTTGAATAGAAATCTGCTATTTATGACTAGGGGTGTTTTTGAAAGTTCTCTCTCTCTCTCTCTCTCTCTCTCTCTCTCCCCACACACACACACACACACACACACGCACATGCGCGCGCATGAACACAGTGACATGCAAACCACACAGACATTATTCCTGTCAGCCTGAATGGATAATGTATGCTCCTTTGCTCATCTGTCATATGTTATTGAAAGGCCCTCACGTGAAATGAGGAATTCTTAAATCACCGTTCCTTAGGAAGAAGCTGGTTAGGTATCACTGTATCATTGCTTGTGTGTGTCACTGCTTGCTGTATGTTTCCTCTTGAAGCAATTAACAAATTTTGTCCATGTTTTACCTTACAATATGAAGACTTCCAAGTTGCTTTAAATGTGCTTACCTGAGTTTATAATGTGGCTTATATGCTTGTATTCAATGTATCATGATCAGATTATATTCAGGCGATGAGTTTTGTGCCCTTATCTACCTATATGTTGAGTTGCTTTCATGTTTATTATCTTAATTAGAGATGGAGCAAGTGGAGCAAGATCCCGAGTTCATAACATTGTCTCGCCAGTTCAAGGCAACTGCTACAGAGCTGATTTCTGTTCTTGAGCAGGTGATATGTGTGATATTAGCATATTTTTATCACTTCTTTGAAAACTTTCTCGTGAATAGAATCAGACACCAAGAGACCTTATTTCTTTTTATTTTTCTTTTTTGGTGTTATCAGAATCTTTGGTTACAAGTTTTCTCAGGTGTATCATTTAGCATCAATAATGAAATACAAATTCAAGACCGCACAAATATTATGCGTATATATGTTCTATATCCATTCTGAAGTATGTGTAAGCTCCTTTTGAAGCCGTGAGGCTGAGCGCCTTCTTTTCTTAACAAATGGGGTTTCAAATGGTTTGACTGTGCTTGATTGTTAAGATGTTTAGGAAATGCCATTTGCTCGAGATGCCTTGATTTGGTTGGGGAGCATCAACTAAGCTTCTTTATGTTATGAATTCTATCCAGATACTGTTGACTTGTGTGCGTGTGTGTGTATATATATATTTATGTTGTTGATAGTGTACTCTGCTGATAAAACTTTTCTGAGTCCTTACTACGTGAAACGCTTGGTGTTTTCTAAATTTATATTTGTTGTTCATATTTTAAATCATTTACTCATTTCATTTTGTGCATGCAGAAACAAAAAACTGGAGGAAGAACAAAAGTTCTTCTGGAGACAGTTCCAGTTCACAAGTTGGCAGATATCTTTGTTGCCAGCTTTGAGATAAGTTTTGAGGAGCAACTGTGTATGCTGGACTCAGTTGATCTGAAAGTGAGACTTTCGAAAGCCACTGAGTTGGTTGACAGGCATTTGCAGGTAACTGTTGATTCACTGGTGGTGATGTTTTTTTTTCACTCAGTTGACCTTAGTACTTCCTATAGATTTTTAGGAGTCATGTTGGTGTTACCTTGTGACAGTCCATACATGTAGCAGAGAAGATTACTCAAAAAGTTGAGGGTCAATTATCGAAATCGCAAAAGGAATTTCTTTTGCGTCAGCAGGTTGGCACTCTCACATCAGCTTTTGATTTGTTGAGGAACTGAAAAGTTATAGTTATGTTTTTTAATGATAAAATTATTATTTGTTTTCATCCAGTTCATGTTTTGTTACCTTACAATAAATGTGGTAAACAAGTATTGTGCTCAGTTTTTGATCAGTTTAATTAATTAATTAATTTATATTAATTTGATTTTTCTGGTGATTTGTTCTTATTTTCTGAAGCAATAGAAAATATCTTATCTGTTAATATGTATATATATTTTTAATGTGTTTAAGTTAAATGAAGGATATTTTTGACAAAATAAAGGAATGGAGAGTGCAAAGCTTTCTAGATTGCTGTATTCTTGCAAGGTTTTATACAAGTTCTACATGTAATAATTTATTTATTGATTGACATGTAATAATTTATTTGTTGGTTAGCTTAATTAAGGGTCCGTTTGGGACTTCTGTAGGAAGCACTTATGCTCATACGTACGTGCTTTTGTTAGAAACACGTTGAATTTTTATTAAACGCTTCTCCAGAAAATGCTTTTATGACCTAGAAGCAATTTTAAGTTTTTTCGCCAAACCATTCCAGAAGCGCTTTTAGCCATTTCGGAAGCAGTCCCAGACATGCCATAAGTTTAATATTTAGGATTGACATAATTTGTTGTAGTGCTGGAGGACTCAGATATCAAATGTATATAAGAAAAAAAAACCTATATACATTTTTCATGTGCATAACTAGGGAAAGGTTGTGAAGGATACAGCAGGCTGCTTTAGTAGATGAAATTTACTAAGAACTTTTATTTATAGGCATGTTTTTGTCTTAGGTGTGCAATTATTTTGTTTGTACTCATTTCTGATTATATGTTGGATTTTAGTTGATTTGGATTTTCATGAAACTTATAAATACTATTCAGGACTTCTGGTGGATTCACGTGTTGATGGTTTGGAAATATCTTAACAAACTTCTAAATTTGACACAGATATACTGTTATTTCCTATTCTTTAGCTGCATAAATCCTTATTGTTGTTTCCTTTCCTGCTTTATGAAACACACTTGCAGATGAGAGCTATAAAAGAGGAGCTTGGGGACAATGATGATGATGAAGACGATGTAGTTGCCCTGGAAAGAAAGATGCAAAGTTCAGGAATGCCTTCAAATATCTGGAAGCATGCACAGAGGGAGTTGAGGTATGATTTGGTTAGAAGAAAGGAATAAGGGTTACTGCATTTCAGTGTGCAAGTAAAGTAGGTTCTTCTTTCTTAGTAAATATTTCATACTGTGGGTATTACTGAAACTTTGATGTAATTCCATTCCAAATTTTAAATTTTGGTGCTGAGTAAGATACGGTTTTGGTTCCTCAAACAAAGAAGTGTCTGACATTAAGGTCTTAGTCGGAGTAAAGAGAATGACGACACTGTTAGTAGTGCCCGACATTGTATTATCTTGGATTTTTTTCCTAATGATGGCATGTTAAAATTGATTCGATTATATTGCTCTTGAGATATTCATAAGAGAAGAAGATTAAAGTTGTTACCCATATATATTATTGCTTTTGTAATCTGAAGCCACATTGATTTATGCAGCTTTACACAAAAGGTCACTGGGATTTCTAACTCTTGGGTGTAGTAACATTACAAAATTTGGCATTGTTAAGTTTGGTCCAGATATAGTTATGTAGCAAAAGGGATCACAGTCATGCTCTCTAGATTTTGTTATCCTGAACTTTAAGCTTGACGCTGGTGATTCTTTATACAATCTGGTGCTTTAAATTTTGTGCTGCTCTGACCATATTCAACATGCATTTTCCAGACCTGCTACTGTAGTTGATGGGGGTTTGTAAATCTGTCCATTGATGATTGTAATGTCTATAATGTTTTCTGCAAAATTATGATGATAAAGACAAATATGAAAAGGAAAATAACCAAAGTGAAGACTTATTTATTCTTCCTTAGATTTCAAATCGTATCCACTCGCCCTTGTTGTTTTGTTTGAATACACAATTCTTGTACTTCCAAGTTTTAGAATTAAGCAGGTCTCATATAATTTATTTTCTCCTCATGCCTCAGGAGGCTGAAAAAGATGCAACCCCAGCAACCTGGATATAATAGTTCACGTGTTTACCTAGAGCTTCTTGCTGATCTTCCCTGGCAGAAGGCCAGTGAAGAGTATGAATTAGATTTAAGGGTTGCAAAAGAACGTCTGGACAGTGATCACTATGGATTAGATAAGGTCAAGCAGCGGATTATTGAATATCTGGCTGTTCGCAAGGTGGCCAATTCTGCAGCACTTGTTCCCTGATTTTTTGAATGTTTTGTGTTCAGAATTTGATGCTCATATTGTTACTTTTGGGTTGCAGCTTAAACCAGATGCCAGAGGCCCTGTGTTGTGCTTTGTCGGCCCACCAGGTGTTGGGAAAACATCTTTGGCATCATCTATTGCTGCTGCTTTGGGCAGAAAATTTATACGCATATCCCTTGGTGGCGTTAAGGATGAGGCTGATATTCGAGGGCATAGGAGGACATACATTGGAAGCATGCCGGGGAGACTCATTGATGGAGTAAAGGTATATTTTTATTCAAATTAAACATTTGTATGGACTTATGGTGTGGTATTCACATGCTTAGCTTGCTTTGATGTGATGGGTTCAGTGGTTAGTCATAATTGAAAATGCTACGGTCTAAGGGTGTTGAACGAACCAAGAAAAACAAGAATACACTAGGTATTTTGTTGTTGATAAGGCATAGTGTTTGTCATCGGATCCATAACCTGCCTTCAGAAAAACTTTCTGATTGAAGAAGCCTCTTAGCTTTTCATTCATGGGTCAAATGAAGATTGTTGGATGCTTATATGTGGCTTAGTAGACACAACAACAACTACACATGCATATCCACGCCCACCCACCTGAGTATGGAATTTATGCTATAGGACTTCAGCTAACGTTTTGCTTAATTATGTTTTATTTCAGAGAGTTGCTGTTTGCAATCCAGTCATGCTACTAGATGAAATTGATAAGACAGGTTCTGATGTACGTGGTGATCCCGCTTCAGCTCTACTGGAGGTTCTTGATCCAGAACAAAATAAAACATTCAATGATCAGTATCCTGCTCTCTGGCTCTATCCCTTATTTCAGTCCAATTTTTTATATTTAAATAATTTGAAATGTCATCTTGTAGTATGAATCTCGAGTTTGACCTATGAGTATATCTACAGTTAACTTTGGAGAAAATTTTCTTTACATAAAATGAAGAGAGTAACTATCAATATGGTCTGTGATCAGATGGTTTCACTTAATATCGCATGGCATAAATTATATGAATAGATCACTATCTCTTGAATGTGAGTATATTCTAGTGATTCCTTAATGCAAGGCCTATAGCTATTTGAATGTTCCTTTCGACCTTTCAAAGGTGATTTTTGTGGCAACTGCAAATAGGGTGCAGCCTATTCCTCCACCACTCTTGGACAGGATGGAAGTTATCGAGCTGCCTGGATATACACCTGAAGAAAAGCTGAAGATAGCTATGCACCATTTAATTCCACGAGTTCTTGATCAGCATGGTTTGACTTCTGAGTTTCTCAAAATTCCGGAGGTAAGAAGTTCATTCCATTGTACTATTATCAAGTAGTAATGGTGTTAAAATTGGGGTATTCCCAATAATAGCTGTGGATCCAAAAAATAGGCACCAAATTTCTAGCCTTCAAAATCAAATTTTTATGCCAACCTTTAGATGACTCTCTTGATTCATGACCAAAGTATATACAAAATATCATAAATGTCTCTCTGTTGTGGTAGGCCATGGTGAAACTTGTCATTCAGGGGTACACTAGAGAAGCTGGTGTTCGGAATCTGGAGAGAAACTTGGCTGCTTTGGCTCGTGCAGCAGCTGTAAGAGTTGCAGAGCAAGAACCAGCTGTCTCTCCGATCAAAGATGTGCATTCGCTTGCTTCACCACTTCTTGAAAACAGACTTGCTGATGGAGCTGAAGTGGAAATGGAGGTTATTCCAATGGGTGTGAATAATCATGATATATCAAGCACTTTCAAGATTGCTTCGCCATTGACTGTGGATGAGGATATGCTGGAAAAAGTATTAGGGGTAATTATTCTTGTTTTTTTCTTTAATAATTAGGATAGGTTGCTTCAGCTTATTGTTAGGTAGTCCCTTGTAATGAAGAATAGCAACTTCAAGGCTCTTATCTAGATGATTATATGTAAATGAATGTTTAGGAGTGCTTTCAAGTGAGTTTTAGGCTCAACATTCCAGAAACTGGAATACCTTTTTATAACCAATGCATCTTGGATTTCTCGTGCATTAAATCTTGGAGGTTGACCTGTCATGTTGCTTAAGAGATTCTGAGGTTGTCTCTGTGTGTTGTAATGCAGCCTCCAAGGTTTGATGACAAAGAAGCTGCAGAACGGGTTGCAACACCTGGTGTATCTGTTGGGCTTGTTTGGACTTCTGTTGGTGGAGAGGTCCAATTTGTGGAGGCTACAGCAATGGGGGGGAAGGGTGAATTACATCTCACTGGTCAACTTGGAGATGTTATAAAAGAATCAGCACAAATAGCATTGACATGGGTAATTTTTTCTTTTAATTATCTTTATTTTTTTGAAGTACTAATACCTGCCGCTTGGTCACGAGTCAGACATTTCTTGGGGTGCCTCAATTATCACACTTTTGAATTGGTTTTAATTGCTAATTCATGCATGCTGGGATTCTCAAATTGATTTTTAAGACAACTAAGAGATTCTAATGGGACTTACTGTTAGTCTCAGCCACTTGATATCTGTAATTATCAAAGAAGAGAGAGTGTAATCCTGTTTTAATGAAAAAGAAGAGGAACACAGAAGTTCGATACTTGTCAGTTTCAATTTGGGGATATGTGATATTGAAGTTTGCATGCCTCGTTGCTTTCCCATATATAGTGAGATTAAAATTGGAGCATCCAGCTAAAAAGTAATTGGCAATGGTAAAGACGATCCACGACCCCCCTTCCCTGACCTCGGTATTTTGTGTGTTGAGATACAAGGCTTGGACTTTGAATGCCCGTTGTGAGAATTTTTTTGTTCTCAGCACGTCCACTCACGTGTAGTGACTGAGCCAGATGCAGATCAATTATATTTGTGGCGTGGAGCACGCGTGGCCAAATTGGCCCTACCTTGTGGATGGATTACAGGCTCTGATACCATGTGAAAGTTGGAGCATCCAATCCAAACCAATTGGAAATAGGTGGAGAGACCTAGTATTTTATTGAGATGCAAGGCTTAGGGTTAGAATAGCTAATATGAGATTTTTTTATTCTCAATTTTTAAAAGTACAGAGTGTTGCTTTTTACTGATGGAGGCGTTTCTGTTGAGATCCTAGTCATATTTACTTCTGTTTCTGGGATTGAATGATAGAGAGAAATGTTAGTCCTGTGTGCACCATACTCTGATTGTAAAATATAGTCATGAAACATAATGTCATAATTGCTGCTCATGTAAAAGTTAGTTTTGAAGACTCTAATTATCTCTCAGGTAAGAGCCAGGGCAAGAGATCTTCTGTTGGCAACAGCTGACGAAACCAATCTTTTGGAGGGTCGGGATGTTCATATACATTTTCCTGCTGGGGCTGTACCTAAGGATGGACCCTCAGCAGGTGTGACTCTGGTAACTGCACTGGTTTCGTTGTTCAGTCAGAAAAGAGTAAGAGCAGATACAGCTATGACTGGAGAAATGACATTGAGAGGTCTCGTACTACCTGTTGGTGGTATCAAGGATAAGGTACACCTTATGTCCTACTATTCTTATGAGAAGCATATAGCTGTGACTTTGTACATAAGTCGGTCTCCATGTATAAAACATGTTATATGTGGCTTACAAAATGAAATGATGGCTTTTGTATCTAGTCATGTTCTTAGTTTGCAGTTTGCAGTCACTGCCTTGTCAAGTGCTTTGGCTTGTGTGCATGTTGGGCATGTTAACATGACCATAGATGCGACCTTGGTTTTAACCTTTTATGGACAAATATTGTACATCATACTTGTCTGGCATAGAGATTTTCGCTTTTAGTAGTACTTTCATTTTTATAATCGCCAGGCTATACTACTCAACAGTCATTCCATTTTAGCATCTTTTCTATTTTCCGTAACCATCATCTAGCCAAATTGATGTTTGATGCATAATTGAGTGGTTTTTTTTCAAGGAATTAGTATCTAAGTAGTTTAAATTTCCTTCCTTTATGATAAGAATTTTGTGTGAGATGCATGTTTATTAAAATTTTAAGATGCCTTGAGTCCTAAATTATAGATGTAAAATAGGTTTTGTGATGCCAGCATCACCCATTAAATTCTGTCCTTTTGTTCTTCAAGCATGGCACAAACACAACATTGACATATTCATGCTAGGTTTAAATGTTTTTAATCCTTGTTGTGATATGAGTTGTACCTGGCGTGTGTTCGTGTTTGGTATAGCCCATACGACTATTAGATATCCTGCCAGGTCTGTTTTAAGCTCATGGAGCCCATGCTATGCTTTTGCTTGCTTGACCTGCACTTCTGGTATAATTTTGAAAATCAATCAACATACATGTGTGTATGTTCGTGTGTTGGTTTTACCACTTATCTGGTTCAATGCATTTACACTAAATTAAAGGGTCAATCTGGTTTATTTTGTGTAACCCAATTAATTTAAGGGCTGTCTTTGAGTTTTCCATTACCAAGGAATGTGTTTAGAAGAGAGTTAGATGTACTGGAGGTTAGGGCTCGTCAATTAGAGCGAGCTACCTAAACTCCGTATGTAATTTAATTTCTTGATACCTGTGAATGCAGACCACATGGATTTTGTTTTTCTCGAACATCTGAAACTATTATTGTTGATGTCTGTTGGCTTTCTCTAGCCATTGAACCTAGATATATGTCATAACATTTTGCTTTGCTAGATTGATAAAAGTAAAATAGCTTTTTGGTATACACACTACACAGTTGTCCAATGCATCTCCGTGCTCATTTCTAATTTGTGCTGTCACTGCTAGGCTTGTTTTTAGACCCATGGTTGTTTGATGATTACACTATTCAGTATGGATTTGAGGAATTTTCAAGCATTTTACAATAAATTTGGGTCCTAGTTGGCAGCAAATTTCTCGGTGAATAATATTCTGGTACATTATTGCATAGATTTTCTTGGATTGATTATCTGAATCTACATTATTGCAGGTATTAGCGGCCCACCGTTGTGGTATTAAAAGAGTCATTCTTCCAGAAAGAAATCTGAAGGACTTAATCGAAGTACCATCAGCTGTGCTTTCCGGTCTTGAGGTAATTTTGGTTTTATTTGCAGCAAGGTGTTTCTCACTTATGCAGGTGCTTGTAGGACATAAATTGTATTAAGGCCTGATGATTACCTTTGCCACCTGCATAGCCTGTTAGGTGTTTTGATTGCATTGTCAGCTGTAGATACCCCTGTAACCCTGTTAGGTTTTTTATTGTATGAGATATGATTGTGACCACAACGTATTTTTCATTTGGAAAAATCCTTTTGTAACAGATAATAGTAGCAAAGCGAATGGAAGACGTGTTAGAGCAGGCTTTTGATGGTGGATGCCCCTGGAGACAGCACTCAAAGTTATGACAGGGCCCTTGATGGATGATTTTGTTATGTACAAACAAATTCCAGTGATTGAATTGCCATTGGCACATGGCTTGCAGCCCCCCTATTTGTTCAACAGCTGTCTTGGCTGCAAAGACTGAGGAAATTGTCAATCACTTGAACCAGTCGTGGCGCCGGAAACCGGTCATATAGGGACATGATCACAAATCATTGATTTCATTTTGAGATTTCTGATCAACTGTTACATTCGCCTTGCGCCCCTCTGTTCCGTTCAATGTCAATTTCTGTCCCAATAAATCTGTAATTATAATTAATCCTCCGTTCCGTGTAAAGTATTATCGTTTAATTGAGCAAGGGAATACAAGCCCATTTCTCTCTTCCCTGTACAAACTGATTTAAAACGGTGCTAATGTTTTGTGAAATGAGAATGTCCTGCATGATCCAAGGATACATGCGTTTCTGCTTTATATTCCCTGGTGTACGAGCCTTGAAAGTATATGCAGTTCTGGTGCAATTGGACTATACTTTTGTAGCTCTAGAATGCATTAATTCATACGTAGTTGTAACATCGATGCATTCATTTATATTGTTGTGATATTCTATGAAAAAATGCCCAAAATTCAGGTGGACATCTGGATGTACTACTACTAGCTGAGATTATTGCTTATTCAAGGGAGATGTCTAATGCAAAATGTTAAATTCGAATTTGATGGCTTATGTGGCAATTTGCCACCTAGGAAAAAAATTTAACTTTACCCAAAATGCCAATATCATATTTTTATATATTATATTTTTAAAAGCAAATGGGATTTATATGATCATAAAGTTTAAAAGAGAGTGAAAAGTATTAAGATAATATTTGACATCAAGCTTTTTGATATGTTATTTTTTACATATATCTTAGCCTTTAAATTCACGTCAGTTTTGACTACTCGATTGGAGTAACTTTAACCTTTGATTTTTGCCGTTTCATATCCACGTGGCAATTTTACATCGACCTTTAGTAAACCGACGATAGTCAGTTCAATAGTAGTTTTGAATTGTGACATTCTAGCAATCGTTGATTGATTGTCGATTTGGCCGTCTCGATTCAATTACCGAACTGAGCCTAGGCTGCTACCGAACGTGTGTAAATAATGTTTTTTTTGTAGGGTTTGAGATAATGTCGCAAAAGAGCACTTTAATCTTTGAGGCCATTGTCTTTTAAGTCCAAATCAAGGCCCAAAGGGCAAAAATAAATTTTTTTTTTCTTCTAAAAACAACAGTGAGCCCAAAAGAGTGTTTCATCATTGAAGACCAATTTGGGTTTGCTCGACGACACATCAGAAAAAGGTGCTTTTAAACCCTCGACTAGGGTTTAGAGAGAAAAGCGAAGCGAGTGAAGTGAAGTGAGAACCACAAGGTGGCCGCTCTCTCAACCTTTCCAATCCAAGGGTTTGCTCAGAGAAGAAATCAAAATCAAAGGTATTGGTTTTCTACTTGACGTTTGGAAGAGCTTTGATCATATTGGAATTTATCGTATTGTGGTAAACCAGAACTAAACTTTGTTCATATATAAGAGCTTCTGAACCCTTTAAAGTTATTTATGTATGGTTTCCTCATTTCTATGTAAGCGGAGAGTTTGATAGATACGAAGAGTAATCTTTTTGAAAAACAAGTTAGAAACCCAGAACCTCTTTTGGGTTTTTCTGTTATGAAGGGTCTTATTTGGCCGTACTTCAAGTTGTTTTTTTATGTACAAGTCTCTTCTTCTGTCTTTAGAAGCTTTGTTCATATTCTAGCCAAACACGTCATTGTTTACTTCTAAAACCCCCTGATATTGTGTTAATCTCTGGACTGGGATCTTAATGATAATGCTTTGTATAGGAAAGTCACTATGTACCTCTGTTATGAGTAATATGATTAATGAAGTTTTTTTTTTAACAAATGAAAAATCAGAGCTATTGTTTTCTTGTAAATATTGTCCAGAAGAAATTTTGAATATTATGTTGGGTTTTACCTATTGTTCTATTTATTTGTTCATTTTTTTTCTGTTTAATGTGCAGGAAATGGCTTCGTCTGATGATGAACGAACCCCAGTGAAGGCTGTGGCGAAAGTGACAGATACAGAGAAGAAGAAGAAGAAGCATAGAGACAAAGACAATGATTTAGACAAAGACTTCATGATTAAGCCCCAGAGCTCGACTCCTTCCATGGACACCTCCCAGTGGCCTATCCTTCTCAAAAACTACGACCGCCTCAATGTTCGAACTGGACACTACACCCCTCTTCCCTCCGGGTATTCCCCACTTAAGCGCCCTCTTGCTGAGTACATCCGATATGGTGTTATCAATCTTGACAAGCCTGCCAACCCCTCCTCGCACGAGGTTGTTGCTTGGATTAAACGCATCCTTCGTGTAGAGAAAACTGGCCACAGTGGTACTCTGGATCCCAAGGTTACAGGTAATCTCATTGTCTGTATTGACCGAGCTACGCGACTTGTGAAGTCCCAGCAGGGTGCAGGGAAAGAGTATGTCTGTGTTGCACGCTTGCATTCAGCCGTGCCGGATGTTGCCAAGGTGGCTCGGGCCCTTGAAGCCCTTACTGGGGCTGTCTTTCAGAGGCCACCTTTGATATCAGCAGTCAAGAGGCAGCTTAGGATTAGGACTATATATGAAAGCAAGCTACTTGAGTTTGATGCTGATAAACATTTGGTTGTTTTCTGGATTTCATGCGAGGCAGGAACCTATGTGCGTACCCTGTGTGTGCATTTGGGTCTGCTTCTTGGAGTGGGAGGGCATATGCAGGAGCTGAGGAGGGTCAGGTCTGGAATTATGGGCGAGAAAGACAACATGGTTACCATGCACGATGTCATGGATGCTCAATGGGTGTACGATAATCATAGGGATGAGAGTTATTTGAGGAGGATCATCATGCCTCTTGAGGTGCTGTTGACCAGTTATAAGAGATTGGTTGTCAAGGACTCAGCAGTGAATGCCATTTGCTATGGTGCCAAGTTAATGATTCCAGGGCTGCTCAGGTTTGAGAATGATATTGAGGTTGGAGAGGAAGTTGTGCTTATGACTACCAAAGGAGAAGCAATTGCATTGGGAATTGCTGAGATGACCACTGCTGTGATGGCAACTTGTGATCATGGTGTGGTGGCAAAGATTAAGAGGGTGGTGATGGATCGGGATACTTATCCAAGGAAGTGGGGATTGGGACCAAGGGCGTCCATGAAGAAGAAGTTAATTGCAGAAGGGAAATTAGATAAGCATGGGAAGCCTACTGAGAGTACCCCTCAAGAATGGATGAGGAATGTGGTTTTACCTACAGGTGGGGATTCTATTGTTGCAGGCACTGCTGCTGCGCTTGCCACTGAACCTGCTCCGGCAGAGAAGGAGACCACTCTTGTAGAGGAGAAGAAGGAGAAGAAAAAGAAGGACAAACACAAGGATGAAGAGGAATCTAAGGAAAGTCGTAAGCGCAAACTAGAGGAAAGGGCCGAGAGCCCTGTTCCTGTTCCTGCTAAGAAAAGCAAAGGTGAAGAAGTTGACAAGTCAGAAAAGAAAAAGAAGAAGAAAAAGGACAAAGAGAATGGTGTTTTGGAGGCTTCAGATGTGGAGAAGTCAGAGAAGAAGGTGAAGAAGGAACACAAAGATAAAGTTGAAGCTGGTTCACCTGAAACCGAAAAGTCTGAGAAGAAAAAGAAGAAGAAAAACAAAGAGGCTGAGGAAAATGGTGCTGCGACTCCTGCTGGCGCTGATGACTTGAAGGGTGATGGCGAGGCTGATAAGAGTGAGAAAAAGAAGAAGAAGAAGAAAAAGGATAAAGCAGATGCAGAAGAGGATTAGAGGAAGGATTTAGGATTAGGAACTTTAAATGGCCAAACTTTTGAATGTATGCCTCCATCTACAATGAGAATTTTCGTATCTGACTTTGAAATTTTCCTATCTCATATATGTAAGTTTTAATGAACTTGTTTTTCCGCAGAACTAGTTTTTTGGTAGTTTAGCCCTCCTGTATTGCAAGCTGTTTTCTTCTGTCTGAGTAATTTGAATTCATAATTTTTCACTTTTTTTCTTTTGTTTTCTTCCCTGAAACGCATGAATGAACATCCACTTCATATGCTGTAGGGTTTTTTGGGTAAATGTTCTAAGCTTTTGTGCTCTTCTGGTGTCAGGAAAGAGGCCTTTATGTTCTGCTTTGCCTTTATGTTTTGCTTTGGCATTGGTGTCGCTGATGTTTTCGTAAATATGTTCAAAGTTGTATACAGGCATTGGTTATAGAGAGGTACCTCCTGTCCTGCGAGTCCTCATCACTTAGTCTATATCTTCCAAACACAAGACGTATTCATTATTCAGCACCAGATAGAAAATCAAGTCAGCTTTTCTCATTTGTCTCTTTCTTCCCACACACATTTTTGTATCATCAGCTACCTAATTAAGCGGCACCTTCTTTTTGCACCAAATCATCATACTCAATTGTTGACGATCGATATAATGATGAAGATGTCCAAGAAACTATTAATGGTGATCGTCATCATCATCATTCTGATGGGGGTCGTAGAGCATGGAAGCTGCTGCGTCGGGCATTGCCTTGGGCAAGAAAAGGCGGTGTCTTCAGACGACGCCTCATGATGGAACTGCGGGTTGTCCCCAACTTTCTCAAGAGCCTTGCTCGTCATCATCATCATCGCAATGATAATCAATATTACTTTGAGCGTCAGCTGTCCTTCGATAAGACTTCCATTTTCCCCATCCTCAAATTGAACCGTTGAACATCCTCCTCCATGCACTTCATTAATATCCCTTGCTTAAACCCACCATTAGTACTGGATTTTTATGATCATCATGAAATCAACATGATTAATTAGATTATGATGATGATGAGGAGGGAATGATAACTGAAGACACTACTATTATTAATGTGCATGAAGAAAAGGGATATGCAGATTATGAGGATGAATTGGTTGATATAAAGGTGGATCAGTTCATAGCTAAATTCTATCAGCAAATTAAGCTCCAAAGACAGATTACATACTCACACTACTCCTCTAGTATTACTACACTACACTACACTCAGACGCATGCTTAATTAATATACAATACACCCACCACAAGCTACATCTCCTCCATCCATCCCAAATCCAAAATCTCTCTCTTTTCTTTTCCCATTATTTCTTGTTTTCATTGTATTTTGTAAAAGAGGCAATATATTATTGCGGCATTTTTTTGTAGATTTGACAGGTTAATTAGAGTCTCTTCTCTTCTTTGTTTTGTTTTCTTGACACAAACGATATTGGAAGAGGGCAAATTCAAACACATAACCTTGGATAGATGCAAATTTTTAAAAACTACTCTTAAACACTTGAGAACTACTAAGTCTCTTAATTCGTCTTTTCATTTCGAACATGGTTCAGAATCTTAAAATGGAAGGAAATTGAACGCCCATATGATCATGATTCATGAGCATGAGGTGCTAACAGACTAGAGCTCCTATCCTAATGTATCAGTCTTCCTTTCGCGCATACAGAGTATAGTGTGAGTCTGCGGCATCAACTGCAAGTCTGCAATATTGTACAATCATTTGGCCTTACTAAAGTAAAGAACTTTACACGTACATTTTCTATTTGATAAATTAAAAACAACATCAAAATATTTTAAAACAATAATCTGTCATTTGTTTAGGGTTGAATCAAATGCCTGCATATTTTAAGTGTGAATAAATGATGAAAAGAAAATTCCAAGAGTTGCAGAAATCCTTCCGAAAAATAAGAATTTGAATAAGCTTTGAACTGAGCAGCACGATAAATCGTGTACCACAGTAAGATAAGATGCTAGCTCCGCAATCAGGATCCACTTTCATCGTAAACTTCCGTCATATGGCGATCCATGTTCAAGTTTGAAGTTATGCAAGTGCACTGATCAAAGTAACAAAATTAGATAAGACATTAGCTTTTACTACACTAGGCCCCATCCACATCCACATTCAAATCTACCTTGAAAAAATTATCTGGGAATATTGAGACAGCGACTCAATGCTGTCAACTTGTATTTGGATGCTGGTCAAGATATGTTTCCAACTGCCCTGTTGCTGCCAAGATAAGACCTAGAATTGCAATGTCACAGATGTCAAATGAAGCACAGAGACTTAATGACTTGATAGAGCTTCACTGAATGTAAATGGGAATTGTAAAGAGACAATCCGTAATGTACTTCGAAACAAGCATGGCCCAAGATCTATATCAAACACTAGAGATACAGCAGAGAAACATAGTAATTAAAAGATGCATGTTGCAGCTATACATGTCTCCCAGTAATAACAAGAAATGTGAGTACATGACATCTAAAGCTCACTTGTTTGTACTAGTACCTAAAAAGAGAGCTGAGGGCTTCCCAGGCCGTGATTTAAATTCTGGATGAAATTGCACTCCTATATAGAATGGATGGCTTGGAAGCTCTAAAATCTGCAGAACAGAAAAGTAACACAAATCATGTAAAAAGTCAAATATTCAAATTCAATCCATTTCAGTAAATGGTAAGAAAGGATTGTGTGCAACTATAACCAAGTAAATTCTGACAAATGCTCACTACAAGTGAGCATAAGACCAGAAGAAAACCCACCTCCATTCGTCTTCCACTGTCATCCTTCCCTACAAATTTTAGGCCCGCTTCTTCAAGAATTCCAATAACATCTGGGTTCACCTGCATCAGGACGGAATCATACCATGTCCGCCACATAAAGGCACTTGTGAAAGATCATGTTTCACCTGAACTAAATTACAACCAACCTCATATCTATGCCGATGCCGTTCATCCACATACTCCGAGTTATGGTACCTAGAAATTGATAGCAATAACAGATTACCAATGTTAAAAGTGGATGCTAATAGTGGAAAACTAAGAAGTTTCAAAGTGGCAGTCTTCTGGGATTAGTTTTGATATAAGCAGTCACAGATACAACATATAGTTGAGATGCCAGGAAAGACTTCCTGCAAAATAATAAACTAGCCAACAATGTTCAAGAGTTTTACAGCATAAATGCAGTAAAGGTAAAAGTTCACTTGCGTGTGCCATGGGTTCTTCCAGACCGAAAGTGTTTGAACACATGGCACCTGCATCGACTTTACTGTATAAATGCAACAAGGTAACTGAACTTATAATTTGAATTTTCAGTACCAGACAGGTTATCTCTTGTATATCTCAAGTTGAACGTAGTAATAGATAATGAACATACAGCTTTGAAGTAATGCAATCAGGAGTCTGGAAAAGTGTTCTTCTGCATCCCAGTCTCATTGTTCTTCCCATATGTGTTCTTGAACCCTATATGCAGACATAAAAGAACGAACTATCACGGGAAGAATGTTGCAGCCATATGTATTTCATAACTGAATAGGAAAGCATCACCATAAATTTGTACCTCGGGCATAAAAACTACAACAGGATTTGGTGTATGTTCATCGAACTCTGTGCTGTCTGCCCTTTCTAAACTCCAAACCTAAAACAAGTAATTAAATTACGGCTGATATATGATCTTAAAATTTGAAGAAAACATGTTAGTGAAAGAAATGTCGCTTACGGATCTTGCGAACTCAATCACGGAAATCTGCATGCCCAAACAAATCCCAAGATAAGGAACATTGTTCTCTCTGGCATACTTTGCAGCTAATATCATACCTTTCACTCCACGATCTCCAAATCCGCCGGGAACCAAGACGCATGCAGAATTCTGCAAATGTAGAATAGATCGAAACATAATTACCCAGACCCTCAACTGTACTGGCGAGGGGATGATAATTAAGCTTAAAGCGTACCTTTAGAGTCTCCCATGCAGCAGCATGTGCTTCTGGTGTCTTTAGGAGAAAGACAAATCTAAAGTAAAGATAGTATGAACATGATATTAAAGCAAATCAGCACAAATGATGTGGTTCAATACCAGTTTGGCACTGTCATCTTCAAGGTCAGAAGCGGCAATCCAGTCAATTGATGGCTTTAAAGAACATGCGACGCAAGCATGTAAAAGGGCCTGCAAGAAAGTTTAGCCATCATAATACGACAGACGTAAAGTTGGCGATTTATTAACAACAAAATAATCTAACAAGCATGTACGGCACAAAGCAACAGGGAGACATAGTAGCACTAACTCATATATTAACTGAATGTCACATGAATAACTAAATTCTAAGGTCTAAACTAGAGATAATATAAACCATCTATCCAGCCAACGAAAAAATAGAACAAAAGTTAGCATCACACCTTCACTACAGATAGATATGAATCTGTAAAGCCAACGTACTTCCCCACCATGGCAATCCTCACCTGCAAATATCAACAGATTATCATCGGATGAATCGAAAAAGAAAAGAGATAATGTTCCAACATAGAGCATTGCACATTTATCTAATAACACTCACAGAATTTGTGAGATTATCGTAAGTCTCTGCCATCTTGGTCCAATCTCTTAGTTCAGGAGGCATAGCAATGCTGAAACAGAACATTAAACACCAGTAAGTTAACATAGCCAACCTTTATGTAATCTATATATGTAGCATTTCGAGCATCATAATGAATCACAAATGTAGTCTATAATCACAATTGCAATCATTAGGGAGGGAGAGAGAGCACAAATATCAACTAAAGGAGTCCAAGTCAGGCATGATTCTACGTAGAGATTGCTTTGTTCTCATTACACAGGAAGAATTTTAAACAGGCTGATACTAATTATCAGTCCAGCACCAAAATTGAAGCCTTAAATCTGAAGTAAACGGTGAAACTTACCTTAGTAAATTTAGTTGTTGAAGAATTGAATGATGAGCATTTTGGTTCTGAACAGCAACGTGTCAAACAATAGTTAGAAGAAAACTTTAGACAAAATGTAAAATAAGTATTTAAGCCTCCAAGGAGACAGAATTGTTACTTAACCCACCCTAAGTAAGAGAGGAATGTGCCAAATGTTTGGTACATCATGGATATTGAGAATATTACCAGCCTGTAAGAAGACAAAAAAGAAAATATAAAACTTGTAATCAAGAAAACAAAGTTTGATGAGAAAAAAACCCAAATAGTATTGGTTTGACCCTGTGAGGTGAGAAGGGTGTCTTCCATCTTGTATCTTAGAGTGGTGTGCTCTAGCTGTAAAGGAGTGGTGTACTCTGACAATGTAAAGGTTTCAACTACACTTGCAAGGAGTTTTTCAACAGTGGATCGAACTTTCAAGTGGTGTGCTTGAGGACTGGATGTAGGTTAGGTGGACTGAACCAGTATAAATCTCTAAGTTTGAATCTCTCTTTCCCTATTTGTTTATTATTGTGCATGTCAATTTACTTATCCGTGTTTAAATTCAGTATATCAATTAACCTTATTCACCCCTTCTAAGGTTGATTCCCTGGGCAACACAACTCATAGCTTGGCATAGATAGATCATCAGAGATTATCTCACTATCACTACTTGATTGAAGCAATGGCAGGGGAGAGGGTGGGTCTTGCATCGAACTCAACTGCACACGGATCACAAAGGTCACTATCACATTTTTTAGGCTATGGCAATCGGTCGCTTTCTCCAGCGCTACTTGTAACATCCCACATCGACCAAGGGAGAGGGGGTGATGTGCATTATATGTACATACTCGCCTCCATCTAGCTCGATGCCTTCGGAGTCATGGGAATTCCGAAGTTAAGCGAGTTGGGGCTAGAGCAATCCCAGGATGGGTGACCCACTGAGAAGTGCTCATGAGTTCCCAGAAACAAAACTGTGAGGGCAGAGAGGGGGCCCAAAGTGAACAAAAATCGTGCTACGGCGAAGCCGATCCCGGGATGTGACACTACTGGTGGCTTCTTCACATAGAGCAATTTCATCATCGCCAGGCTGTGGCGACTAGTCGCTTTCTCAAGTGCGACATGTTGTTTCTTCACAGAGAGCACCATCTTCAGTTCCAAGCTGTGGTGACCGGTCGCTTTCTCCAGAGTGACCGGTTGTTTCTTTCCCTAGAGTAACATCTTTAAATATATCATTATGCAATTCAAGTCCGCAATTCTCCACGCTATTGCTGACTTGCCTCGGACTGCGGGTTTGGATACACTTGTCGATATGATTGTGCATCACATTCTAGTTCTAGACAACGACGTTGATGCTGCTGCTGGGTATCTTCATCTTCATCTTCATCCTGATAGGTATACGACAGTGACCCACATTACAGATTGTTACATGAGTTGTAGATATATTTGTGGAGCTGTTGAACTCTGCTATCGAAAAAAATGAAGCATCTCAAGCTCAAGATGAAGCCATATGATTATTTGACTGAGATAAAGAGTACGACGAATGCCGCCGCAAAGGTGATAGCCACCACGAAATTGATGCTGATCTTTTGGTATCCCGGGCTGTAGAGTGTTGCACCATAGACTGCGGCCTCTACAGAGCCATTTTTCTGCATGAAAGCATTGAAAAGAGGCTTTTGCCTCCAGAATCAGATGTATCAGAAGAGTGGGAACGGCTAAGGAAGGAGTTTTTGGTGCCCTTGGCTAGTTACCACCAGCATTAATACTTCTTAAAAATCAGAGGGGGCTATGTTGTTGAGAAGGACTTGGAGGAGGTGAAAGCAACAGCAGCAGCAGGATGAGGAGGCAATTTAAGAGGTGGCATTGGCATAATAAAGTCGGATGCTTTGTTTCCACATGAGATTATAAAATATGTACAAGATGAGGATGATGGGGAAGCGGCTGAGCTTATGTGGAAGGCAATGGTGGAGGACATAAAGCAAAAGCAGGGGGAAGGTTTGGGCAAACTGAAAATTTGCTTGGTGGTGGGCAATTCAGATGTGGACTATTCAAATGAGATGTATTCAGAGGCGGGTTTAGAACTTTGGTGTCTGAAGTGAGTGAAGAGCCATGGAAAGGAAAGATGATAAAATATAGTGGTGGAAAATATCAGCTAGACTCGACACAAGACCATGATCTTAAGTCCAAGTTGGAATTTATTAAGAGGAGATACACAAACACAAACAACAGGAAGTTGATGAAGTATAAGTGATTTAGCTGATATTAGTTGAAATTAGTTTAAAGTTATAGTTTTAAATGTGGATCACAGTCCAAGTGGACAGCTAAGATGTAATCTTAGAATAGAAGAATAGATGGTTAGATTTGGATGATGTAATTTGGGAATATCCTGTTCCCCACGGTTATATGTGCACAATGTGTGCGTGAGTGAAGTAACAGAATTCATTTTGCTCATTCCTCAAGTTCTCTTTTTTTTTTTCTCTCTTTCCAAAATCTAACATGGCCTTAGAGCCAAGTTCGATCGCTTAATTCTAGGAGTTTGAATCTGTGAAAGAAACGAGTTGAGATTGAAGAAATTACTTGCGAGATCTGTGTCTAACATGGCTGGGTATGGAGGAGGTGAGCTGAGAGCGCTGATTTTCAACGGCAAGAACTATGAATTCTGGAGCATGCAAATGAAAACCATCCTCAAATCTCATGGGTAATGGAAATTTGTTGAGAAGGGAGTAGAATGCTCAGATTCGAACAGAGTTGATGCAAAGAAGAAAGAAAAAGAAGAATCAAGCGATGCTGGGGAGATGACTCTCACAGAGGTGCTCATGAAGGATGCTAAAACTCTGGGTCTGATTCAAGGAGCAGTTTCTGATGCGATTTTTCCTCTGATCTCTCATGAAGATACCTCTAAGGGAGCTTGGGATATCTTGATGCAAGAATTCCATGGTAATAAACAGGTCAGAAGTGTTAAATTACAAGGTCTTCGTAGGGAGTTTGAATATACAAGAATGAGAGATGATGAATCACTATCTGTTTATCTTACAAGATTATTTCATATAATAAATCAAATGAGGAGCTATGGAGAGGAATTATCTAGACAACAAGTTGTTCAAAAGGTGTTAGTCTGCCATAAGCCTATGATTCTATTTGCTATGTTATTGAACATTCGAAAGATTTGGATGTGATTGAGGTACAAGAAGTGGTAGCCTCTTTGAAGAGCTTTGAGTTAAGGCTAGATAGGCATTCTGAAAACAAAATTGAGAGAGCATTTGCTAGTCTGAGTGTGAATCCCAAATTAGACAAGACCACTGGAAATCAAAGTACTAAGGATCAGAAGAATTGGAAGGCAAAAGGTAACAAATGGGATAACAAATCCACTTATGGTCCTAGAAATACCTGCAAGCACTATGGCAAATTGCATTTGGCGAGTGTCAATTTAAGGGCAAGCCAAAGTGCTACAACTGTGACAAGTTTGGTCATCTTGCAAGAGACTGCTATAGTAAGAAACCAGTGCGACAGCTCAACCATGTTTTATGCTAGTAACAACTCCAATACTAGTGTAAAAGGATATGAGGATGTATGGTTATAGATAGTGGATGTAGTAACCATATGACAGGTAATGAGGATCTACTTGTTGATATTAACAAGAATGTGACTGCAAATGTTGAAATAGGTACTGGGCAGCTTGTTGAAGTGACTGGGAAAGGAAATCTAGTGGTTGAAACTAAAATAGCAAGAGATACATCAAGGAGGTTATGCTGGTGCCTGGACTGAAGGAAAACTTACTCAGTGTGGGTCAAATCATGGAGCATGAGTACTACTTGGTCTTTGGAGATCACAAGGTGGAAATTTATGATGATAGTTCATACTCCAACATGGTTGCAAAGGTGCAAATGAGAGGAAATCGAAGCTTTCCAATGAAATTGCAATTTGGAATACACACTGCCTACAAGGTAAGTGTGTGTCACTCTACAACTATTGGCATAGGAGATTGGGACATTTGAACATGAGCAGTTTGAAGCTATTGCAGGAACAAGAAATGGTGGTAGGCTTACTAGAAATCAAAGCAGTTAAAGAAGTATTTGAGGGTTGTGTTCTAGGTAAACAATGCAGGGAGATATTTCCAATGGCAACTACTACTAGAGCATCCACTCATCTAAAACTTATACATAGTGATATATGTGATCCAAAGCAGATTGTCACAAGCTTTCTTACCTTTATAAATGATTGTACTCGGATGTGCTGGATTTACTTTTGAAATACAAGTATGAAGTATTCAATGTGTTTAAGAGATTTAAGGCCACTATTGAACTACAAAGTGGATATAAGTTGAGGAAATTGAGAAGTGACAGGGGAGGAGAGTATACATCCATTGAATTCAACAAATTCTGTGAGGAAATGGGAATGGAAAGGTAACTCACTGTGGCATATTCACCACAACAGAATAGAGTGGCTGAAGGAAAGAACAGGACTATTGTGGAGATGACTAAGTGTATGATGTTTGAGAAAAAGATGCCATTAGAGTTTTGGGCTGAAGCTGTCAACATTGTAGTAGATATCCTAAATAGGTGTCCAACTAAGGCTTTGGACAAGAAGACTCCATTTGAAGCCTATAGTGGCAGAAGGCCAAGAATTAAACACTTAAGGGTGTTTGGTTTTTTGTGCTATGCACATGTCCCAAATCAATAGAGATAAAAGCTTGATCTGGCTAGCACAAGATGTGTGTTTTTGGGGTATGGAAGTTGTGAAAAAGGCTACAAGCTTTATAACATTGCATCTGGAAGAGTGGTTATTTCTAGAGATGTGGTATTCAATGAGGAAGCAGGCTGAGATTGGAATATACAAAAGGAATGCAGTGTTTCAGTTCCAATCACAGATATGCTCACTGAGAAAGAAAAGGAAACTGGTGAAGCTAGCCTGACTCAAGCAGAGATTCCAGAAGAAGAACATGTTGAAATTGGTCCAGGACCACAAGAGATTGATCACACTCCTCTGAGATATAAAAGAATTGCAAAAATGTATGAAAGATGCAATCTGTGCATCATTGAGCCTGAAACTTTTGAAGAAGCTGTCAAAGATGAGTCATGGCAGAAAGCAATGGAGAATGAGATTGCAATGATAGAAAAGAACAACACTTGGGAGTTGGTTAATAGACCAGCTGATAAACCAGTAATCGATGTCAAATGGGTTTATAAAACCAAGCTGAATCTCGATGGCTCTGTTCAGAAAAATAAAGCAAGGCTTGTTGCAAAGGGTTACTCTCAAAAGCCTGGTATATACTTTATTGAGACCTTTGCACCTGTTGCTAGGCTTGATACAATCAGGACATTGATTGCTTTGGCTACACATAAAGGATGGAAGTTGTTTCGGCTAGATGTGAAATCAGCATTTTTGAATGGAGTATTACATGAGGAGGTATATGTGGATCAACCCCCTGGATTCATGCTTAAGAACAAAGAGGATAGAGTTTATAGACTCAAGAAGGCATTATATGGCCTTACGCAAGCTCCAAGAGCTTGATATGAAGAAATCAACTCCTACTTCACAAAGGCTGGCTTTCAAAGAAGTCCTAGTGAGGCATTATATGTGAAGACTGCAGACAGTGGAATACTCATTGTTTCTCTATATGTGGATGAAATTATTTAAACTGGAAGCTCAAGAGAATTGATGATAGAGTTCAAAGCTGAAATGATGAAATAATATGAGATGACTGACCTTGGGTTATTGCATCATTTCTTGGGTTTAGGTGTGATACAAACAAAGTCCTACATCTTCTTGCATCATAAGAAATATGCAAGGACATTGCTGGACAAATTTGGGATCAAAGATTGCAAATAAGTTGCTACTCCTCTTGCAGTGAATGAAAAATTATCTAAGGTGGATGAGAGTGAACAAGCTGATGAAAGTGTGTATAGTAGATAGTTGGAAGTCTGCTATACTTGACTGCAACAAGACCAGATATCATGTTTGCAGCAAGTCTTTTGGCTAGATTTATGCATGGTTCTACTAGAAAACATATGGGAACTGCTAAGATAGTACTTAGGTACATCCAAGGCACACTTGATTATGGCATAACATATGAGAAAGGGAAAGAAGCAATGCTTATTGGCTACTGTGATAGTGATTGGTCAGGGAGTGAGGATGACATGAAAAGCACATCTAAATAAGCATTTAGTCTTGGATAAGGTGTATTTTCTTGGGCATCCATCAAGCAGAGCAGTGTTGCACTATCCACTGCAGAAGCTGAATATGTTAGTGCAGTAGAAGCCACTGCATAGGCAATCTGGTTGAGATTTGTTCTCACAGATTTTGGTGAAGAACAGGTTGGTACTACTCAAATTCTATGCGATAATACTTCAGCTATAACCATAACCAAGAATCCTGTGCATCATCACAAGACAAGGCATATAAACAGGAGATTTCATTTCATTCGAGATGCTTTGCAAAATAGGGAGATTGATATGTTATACTGCGAGATTGTGGAGCAAACTACATATATTTTTACCAAGGCTTTAGCCAAGGATCGTTTTGAATACCTGAGGAAAAGCTTGGAGTAATCTTAGCTAAACACTTAGAAGGGACTGTTGAAGTATAAGTGATTTAGCTGATATTAGTTTGAAATTAAAGTTACAGTTTTAAATGTGAGCCCTTGGATCATAGTCCAAGTGGACAACTAAGATGTAATCTTAGAATAGAAAAATGGATGGTTAGATTTGGATGATGTAATTTGGTAATTTGGGAATATCCTGTTCCCAATGGTTATATGTGCACAGTGTGTGCGTGAGTGAAGTAACAGAATTCATTTTGCTCCTTCCTCAAGCTCTCTCTCTCTCTTTCTTTCTCTCCAAAATCTAATAGAAATATGGCTTGTGGGAATCCACAAGCTCCGTCATTCTGGAGGTGTTTGATGTGATTTTGGAGGTGAGTATGAATGCGAATGTGAAGGCAGAGCAGATATAAGGACAAAGGGTACGGGGATGAGACTGTTAGAAATTTAGGGGTTTAGGACAATAGACAATAGACAATAGTTGAAACTAAGTGATTTTATTAGATTTGGAGGAGAATAGTACATGGTTTGATGTAAGCTAATTGCTCTCCTTAGCATATTGGCTTATTTTGGCTACCACACTTGGTTTAAATTAGTTTAGACTATTTGGCCCTTACACTTTGATTGGTTAGCTTATTGGCTCTCTAACGTAGCTAGCTTTGGGTAGCTCTTAGCTTCCTTATAGTTTGGGAGTTCTTTTGTTAGACTCCCCATAGATTGGGAGTTGGTGGATGACTCCACTCCGCTTTGGAAGGCTACAAGTCCTTTTATAGATGAGAGTAACCGACATAGACATTCTTCACCGACTTAGTCTATTAACTCCAGTCACAAGTGTGTGGCTTTCTAGAATAATCTTCGTAGTTGCATGTAGTTGCCGACTTTACTCCAGCCACAAGTGTGTGGCTTTCTCTAGATAATTCTCCAATAGTTTAGGCTCATCTCAAAGCTTCTAAATTTTTCCACACATTTCTTTAGCACAAATGTGCATTAATTTCAACAGAGACAAAGTGAAGGCAGAGCAGATATTGGACAAATCCAGAAATAAGACTTGGACTCAGGATCAGAACCAACCCAAAACAGAATGTGTGGCAACACATCATCCCCGTACCCCTCATACTTGTACCGTATTGCCTCAAACCTGCTCCCTCCTAGTAACTCATACTCAATCTCCCAGTGGCGGGTATCAGGTGGTTCTATGTGAGTGAACCAAGATGAGGATGTCGGGGAAGCCTTTGAGTGTCTTGAACTAGTATTTTTATATATTATATATATTTATTTTTTCTACCTAGAATTAATCCTTTCACTTAGGTCTGGGAAAAAATTCCCAGAAACACAAAAAAAACTGACCGAGAAAAACGGAAGGGAAATCAACTGATGCTTTTCTGGTGAACGGGGGGTCGGTTCTACAACCAAATTGATGCCTGTGGACCTGTGGTTGTGAACTTGTGGTAACGAGCTTTTATTTATTTATTGAGTTCTTCCAATTATGTGGTATCACACAAGTCACAACCTAATAAGCTCCCAACTTGAGACACACATTTTGAACAAAGATAAAAAAAAAATACCACGGGTCCTTACTTGGGTTTCAGGTTAAAATTTCCATAACACCTTGGCAGTGTGTGTGAAAAACCCCCCTCCCCCTTAAGTTGGGCAAAACATAAAAATAAAAATAATGGGTTCTGAAATACTTTATTTCTCTGAAAATGATGTAGACAAAATCGTTCAAGCAAGATTACTGCTCAAGGAATAAGATCGAATAGCCACTGGCGTGAAAGAGGAGGAGGAGGAAAAACTAATGGTTGAAGCATGGCAAAATGATCAACCAGTGAGAGCAGAGTTGAGAGCACTATGAACATCAACCCCAATCTGCGCTTCAGCTTTCTCCAAATCAGTTGTGGCTGAACTGAGCTTCTGGGTGAACTCTGCAAGTCCCTTTTGCACTAAGCTTGCATCAATCTGGTCAATTGGAACAGCCTCCACAGCAACTATATCAGCAACAGAATTTGCATGAATAAAAGCAAACCCACTGCTCACAAAATACTTGGTCACTTCGCTCCCTTCGTGCACCGAGAGGATACCGGGCTTAAGCTCTGCGATTGTTGCTACATGGCCAGGCAAAACACCCATTTGTCCAGTTGTTGCTGGTACCATAACCATGTCAACCTGAAATATGTCATTGAAGTTCTTAATAGGCATCAGAAAAGTAAACAGAATGGTGTCCAAGAAGCACTTGAATTTTCAACAAAAGTATCGGCGTTATTGTAATAAAAGTGCGCTTATGAGTGGCAGTGCTTTTTATAGAAGCAGTATCAACAGTGTTCAAAAATTAAAAATAAAGATAACTGATTCTTGTACAACAAGTAAACTGGGTTTGGGATATGAACTCAGGATGCTGTAACAGAAAAGCATATGAATAAGCCATTTATGAATGGCCGCCAAACTGAATATCAAACCTTTTTGCAGCTATCAAGCTGCCTGAAATTACTGAATATCAGATAAAGATGAACGATGAACGACCATCCCAGCTCCCAAAAAAAAAAATATCCCAGATAAAGATGAACGACCATTTAGAAGAGTAAACACACCTTCTAAAACCACGAGAAGCCGTCTAATGTAAAATTCCCACAACTCAAATATCATGAAAGAATAAAAAATTAAGATAAAACATAAAATATGAATTATTTTTTAGTGCAAGCGATAATCTAAATTATGAGGAAGGAAGATTTCTCTCACACACACATACATAACTATGATGCCATGAGAGTTCGAACATGAGATCTCTAGTCTGCAAGTCGTCAAAGCCCTTTTCCACTGGGCTATACCCCATTGGCCATAAAGCATGAATTTAATAACCCTATCTCATATAACATTTGTCCTCAACCATCGTGTTAAAGAATGGAGCATAAAAAACTAACAGTACAAAATTTAATGATTAATCAGTTCATCTCCATTAAATTAATCTGTCCTCCTTCAAATAAATTCACAAATCAGTCACAAATATTGATCAACTAATCCAAACGGTACACACATATTATACCAAAATTTCAGTCACATTAGCCTACGAATCCAAATAATGACAAGATTTAACACCCAATCAGCAAATCCAATCCAAACAATATGGGAAAATACAAAACATAAAGCAAATAATCAGGCATTAAAAATTTGAAAAACGAAAGGAAAGCAAATTAATAACCGAATCCAAACAAAAGCCAAGAACAAAAGAAAAGAAGGAAAAAGCCAGAAGGGCATATATGCGCAGACCTCTTTGCCAGAGAGCTCAGAGGAGTAGGGGAGGACAAAGTTGATGGTGAGTTTGGAAGGGAGAGAAGAAGGGGTGGGAGGGCGGGGCTCCATATAGGTTGATGGAGTTTTGGGTGGGTCCATGATTGGTATCACTTTCTTCCATGACTCGATGAAGGCTGAGTCGGCGTTGGGATTGGCCGCCGGGACCTCTGTGCACAAGGCTCGGATCCTGCTCGGGCAAGGGGGTCGACCCAAGAGGCGTGAGGCTTGACGAAACATGAACATGGTGGTTTTGGTGGCTTTCCGGGTTTGTTTTTGTCGGAGTGCAGTGAGATGTCGAAAATGGTGGTGTTGGTGTCAAGTTTGTGTTTCGTTTTCCCAACCATTTTCCTCATTTTTATGCGAATTGTGAACTGAAAATGAATGGATTTTGGTGAAGTTGTTACACTCCAATCTTTTTTAAATATAAGAAAAAGGAAACATATTGATATGGTTTGAATGCTATCAATCTTTATCAACGTTCCAAAAGAAAGTGAATAATAATACTCCTAACATGACAAACCCAAATATCACCCCACCCCACTATACAAAATTATATCAAATGGAAATAGGAAATATCAATAGGGCACAGAACATTTGCACATGTGCAATCTGATCATATATATTGGAAGCTTCGGTGATAAAATGATAGTTTTACATATCCAAGAGAGATAAGTAGAATGAGTTCTAATTTATAAAAAAAAGTTAAGAGTTTTTCTATTTAAACCCCGCACTTTCCTCTGTTCACCCCATATTCTAAGTTCACCCTTATTTCTAATTCAAATTTTCACAATTTCTAAGAAAGCCCCACTATCTTCCTAAACTACCCCTAAATACACATCTAGCCACCAAAAAAAATAAAAATAAAATAAAAATAAAAACCTCATCAACCTCACACCCCACTATCTTAACCTTCATTGTGTCTGGTTTGGGTTCATCTACTCGATCGTTCCATAAATAGAACTTGTTTTTGTTATCACTCACTTTGCCCAAATAAGGGCAGCACTAATCAAGCTCTTTGCTTGCATCAACAACACACGCCTTACAATTTGTGCTTGAGTGTTTTGGCTTTGCCTTGAACAGTTCAACAAAGGTCAAATTCAGCGAGAGAAACTTCAAACTCTAGTGCAGAAAATTATTGAACTCTTTCAAGTCGTTGAAAAGTTAATACACTCCCAACCCAATCTAGAAAATATTTCACTCTATATTGATGATTTTTTTTTTTTCCATTTTTTTGGGTATTTTATGACCAAATAAAAATAATCTCACATTACATACCTCAATGGATGACCCACAAGCCATTATTTGCATACCATATTTAGGGTTTGTGAAGAGAAGATAAGAGTGTAATAGGTTTCTTGGATTGAGAGAGAAGAGTAATATGGAAATATGGTGTAAAGAAGTTTGTGTTTTTCTAAAACTTAATATGAAGAAGAGTAATGCTACACTTACCACATTATTATCCCACATTTATATACCACATGATGTGGCATGTCCATATCATATGCCACATCAATTAAATGAATGAAGTGTATTTTAATAAATAAAATTAGAAAAATAAAAATTAGTATTTTACATGATGTGGTATGTACACATCAGCTGCCACATCATGTGGTATAAAATTATGGTATACAAAATGTGGTAAGACTAGTATTATTCTATGAAGAATGGTGGGGTGTGTATAGATGTACTAGGGTTAAGTATTAAGAAGGATGACCTTTTTTGTCTTTTTCCACAATGACAAAACTTAATAGTTTAATGATTTAAGCATTAGGGTGAACAAAGAAAAGTGTGGGGTTTAAATAGAAAAAGTCAAAAGTTATTGGTTCATATTTCTATTATGGTTAACTAGAACCTCAAATGTGCCACAAATAGAGGCGAGGAAAAAAAAATCAATTAATAGTTTATTAGTTGGGTTATTTGATTGATTAGTATTTTTTTAATACACGTGATATTGAGGAAGTTGGGAATCAAATTTAGGACCTCGGGTGCACATATAAATTATCTTAATCACTAGAGCAAGATAATTAGGTAACAAGATTGTTGCCCAAAGAATCGAGGGGGGTGGGGGGTGAATAAGGTTAATTGCAAATTTAAATTTAAACACAGATAATTGAATTTGACAAGCACAATAATAAAGAAATTGGGAAAGATAGATTCAAACTCAAAGATTTATACTGGTTCAGTCCACCTGACCTATATCCAGTCCTCAAGCACACCCCTTGAGAGTTGGATCCACTATCTTGGAAAAACCCCTTGCAGGTGGAGTTGAAACCTTTACACTGTCAGAGCACACCACTCCTTCACAGCTAGAGCACACCACTTTAATACAAGATGGAAGACGCCCTTCTCACCTCACAAGGTCAAACCAACCTTTTTTACAAGTTTGAATGAAATAACTCTCGGAACAAAAATCTCTCCTATTTGAGAGGGATATACAATTGAACCTCACACAAAGATAACTCTCCTTTTTGAGTAGATGATTACAGACGTAATTTTGGACACTATAACTCTTGTATGAATTTGAACAATGAATGGCTCAAGAGAAAAAGATATTCAGAGTATGATGAATGATTGTAAACTTGGATGAATATGTTGAGTTGTTGTCTTTACCAAAAATATGAATACATATTTATAAGTATAGAAATATAGCTGTTGGAAAGATAGAGCCGTTAGGAATATAGCTATTGGGAAATATAGCCATTAAAGATATAGTTGTTGGGAAGTATAGCCGTTAAAAATATAGCTGTTAGAAAACAAATCTGTTGGAACAGTGTTAAGCTAACCTTATTTCCATTTCCAACATTTAAGTAAATGTCTTTGTCATTTTACTTTCATTTATTTTTATATTACTCCATTTACTTAAGTTTACAATGTAAAAAGGAAGTACCCCCCATTTGGTTCAAATAAAAATACTAGAAAATCAATTCCCACCAAATCAAAATATGAAAAATCGGTTTTAGTTCAACATGCGATTTGGACTAAAATTGAAGGCTTATTAAGTCAATAATCTCATAAAATCAGGTTTTCTTATTTGATATGTAGGGAATAAAAGCCACAAAAAATTATCTTGAGAAAATTATTATTCTGAAAAAGCATTTTTCATACTTAGCCAAAATTTTGATAAAACAATTTTGCATGTATGATATGAATGCATGAACAAACCTAAGGTCAATCTAGGTATAAAGAGCCTTAGATGTTCAATTCACAAAGAGTTTTACAAGAATAACTTAACTCTTCTATATTGAAGAAAAATATGCTTGAGTATCGGCTTCTTGCTTCAATGTTCCAAAAGTCTTCCAGTGTGTATAGTATTTTTGATCCATTTGAGAATACCTGCTCCTTACAACTTATCACACCTGAAATACAATAGATAAATAAGGAACAATTTGTTATCATCAAAATATGCACAATAATATTAAAGATCGTACAGCTAACAAAGATAAATTTGGAAATGGCTTAGGACTAATTGTTTCTGTTTCCAAATTTGGTATGTCTGATTTCTGTTTCTGACCCTAACTTAAATTAGGACTTCGTCATATAAGGTATGTCTGATTCTTGAAGCCCTAACTTAATCTTCTAATGCTACTCACTTGGAAGCACCTTTTTTAGTAAGGAATCATGGGTTCAAACCTGAAACCACTACTCTACAAGTTAAGGTCTTTTTCCTCTAGTCTAGACTTGCTGGCCACTTTATTATTAACTTTTTAACCGAAGAAATCCTAATCCAAAGCATTCCACTAATGTAAATCTTCGTATGGTAAATTTTTCTTTGAATTTTAAATTTTCAGTATTCTCAATTATTTATATTCCACAAATGAGAATAAAGTGATTGATTTTATGGCTGCCATCAGTGAACATATTAGTTTCGAAGCTTGGAATTTACATTGTTTATTAATTTATGTGGCACTCTGTCATTGTTAAACCTTCTTCTGTAACAAACTTTATGTCTTCATTAAACTTTTAGAAAATAAATTTCAAGCACCGTGTACAATTTCTCGGATAATGAGATTGATTTTTGAGGTTGTCAAGATAGAATGAACATATTAGGTATTGAACTTGGCTGATATGTATAAATATGTATATTAGGTATTGAACTTGACCATGTTAAGAGCGGCCATATTTAAGCTAATTAGGTGTTCGGCACATAGTGTATTAGTTTAATCTAGACAGTCACATGATTCATTGGAGTTGATTGTTCAGAATTTCTAGAGACAACATAGAAATTTTGAGGATATACCAATATGCTGCAATAATTATCACCTTAATTATTATATTATTATTAAAATTTTAATCTTTCCTCCATTGGTAAACATTAAATGCGGAGCCTTTTGGATCACTATATATACCCTGCTTGTTGGTGCATAAAATTCAGATTTTGCATAGAATTGACATTGTTTTCTTTGGATCGCTATAGTTGGAGGTAAACTCTAGTCGGTCTTTGATTTACCAAAAACTAGTTAGAGAGTTAGCATCTCAAGTTAGATTTCTGGTAAATCAAGGATTCGATTAGAGCTTGATTCCATTGAAAAATTGGTTTTTCATGTCCAAAGGGCTAGTGTTGAAGATGAGCTCTAGTTGATTAGCGATAATATTGGAGTAATGCGTCTCCTTTAGTTTCCTGGTAAATTGCTGATTCAATTAAAGCTCAGTTTTACATGAAGCTACAATTTAACCATGAAGAGATTTCCAGTACATAAATTCATCTCTTTCCTTCACTATTTGATTTGATTTGATTTTTCTTATGGAAGGTTGCTCTTGTTGTAGGTGTTGCCTCTCATCTTCATATTGTCCAAATGAATCAACGATGCTATTTAATGGGCAGTTGTCCCATGGAAGGAATGACTTTGCTTGCATGCCATGGCAAAATCTGGATATTACAACCACCGTTTATTTTTTCTTGCAAATTGTGGCCATAAATTTAATGTTGCATATGCATAAAAGATTTTGTTTACAATATTGAAGGAAAATCTATATTACATGGTGTACACCAATTTAAACCTATGACAAGACGATGATGTCCCAACAACAATGGCGGATCCAGCAGAATTTTTATCCCAAGGTCTTAATTAACATGTAAAAGTTATCAAAAAAAAATTTCGACGAAAAATAACTTAAAAAATTAAACAATACCACTATCATATCCTAAATTCATAGTAAAAAGACTTGTTTATGTATAAATATTAGAAAATGTTATAATAAAAAAATCAACAAAGAACTATTAGAAAATCTTATATGAAGAAAATAGAAATAGTGTGACCTAATGTGAGAACTATTAGAAACTCTAATAAAAATATAAATAATGTGACTCCAATATGAGATTTTGTTTCACATATTGACTCTATTTTTGCTTCTTCAAGTCCGAATAATGCTACTTTTATAAATTCTAGAAATAAAATATTAAAGTTATTTATAGGATTATTTTCAAAATTAATTAAGTTGAAAAGGATTTTATAAAAGAAGAAAAGAAAAAGAAAAAGTTGTGAATATATGTAAGAAAGGGTTAGCAACACACGTGGCACCACTTGTTTAATCACTACCACCTGATCCATTTTAGAGTTTTCCACTAAAGAGTACTTTTTCACTTAAGGGGTCCATTTGGTTTGCAGATTGAACTTCCCATGTCTAATCTCATGAGATAGGAATGGAGGAAGTTCATTCCCATGTTTGTGTACGCTAGGAAATAAAGACTAGGAAATACTATTTATATCATTCCCATGTTTGGTTTATGTAACACCCCGACCCCAAATTATCCCATGTTTTAATTTATTTAAGTGGAATTGAGAAATTACCCGTGGGATAGGGGTATTTTAGTCATTTTCTTGCCCGGAAGGAATTTGGGAATTCCGGATGTACCGTTGCGTGGAGCATGGCGAGATGAGTTCGTAGACATGTAGTGGGCTCGAATCAGAGTTGTAACGAGAGAGATATGATCAAATGAAGCTCAGTGGCATAATCGTAAATATTTTGAAGTGGGATTTTTGGTTAAAAGACGGAATTGCCCCCGTCTCTCGGACACTCTCTCTCTCCCGCGCGCGTCTCTCCCTCTGGTTTTCGCGACAGCCACTGTGGCCGGCCACGTTTTGGCCGGCCGTGCTCTTGTCCGGCCACCAAAGTCGACGGGGCCGGTACCAAAATGACCGGGCCGCCGTCCTCTTCCTACCCCAGCCAGGTCTCGCCGTCAGCCGTCGAGATTTCGCCGGAAAATCGAAGAGAAAAGCTCGGTTTCGCCCGAAACTTCGCCGGCTTCGTTCTCCGTCGTCCGGCCGCCATTTTTGGCGATCAAGGTATGGAAATTCATCCCTTCTGCATGATCTAGCTGATGGATGGGTAGGATTGTATCGATTTTGAGCCTAGATTATCTGATTTTCGAGTTAGGGTTCGACCGAATTTCGGGATGAGATTCCGGCCACTTCCGGTCAGATTTTGGGGTACGTCCAAGAACAAAAGTGACTCCAAATTAGGTGTTTTACCTAGGGTAGGAGTCTTGAGCCGCGATTCGTGGTTTTTCCGGCGATGCGATATCGCTTTGGACACCCACGCGCTGCCGGCGCGTGTGGCGGCGCGTGGGCACTGTAGCTGAGGGGCATTTTTGTCCCATTGTGATCCTCTCGATGTCACGAGCGCGTAGGTGTGCTCGGATCTCAATTTGGATATCGTTAGAGTCCCGAACGGATATCGCATATCGCGTATTTTCCGGGTTCGCTGGGTTTGGACCGTTGGATGGTCCTGAGATTATAATATGTTGATCTAGGTATTACCAGGATCGTGTAGGATCCGACGGATCGTAAAACGGAGTCCCGGATACTCCGGAAATGCCAACCATGGGGTTAGGGTTTTAGTAACCGTCCGATCCTGCGATCGTGAGCGATCCGACCGTCCGATCTGGACCAAACTTGCAGGACGTGCATCCTAGAGCTTGTAGAACCTATTGGAACTTTCGGATCGGAAATTGGAGGTTGTGGGCCCTGCAGGCCCGTTTGACTCTAGGTTGACTGTGAGACCTTTGGGATAGTTCTACCTTCCCAGGAGGGTTAGAATGACCATAGAGACAGGTCCTGATGTTATGGGGATTATGGGGAATTATCGGATGCTAGTTGTTTACTAAGGTGTTTATATTATTAGAAATTAATGTATAAAAAGTATGTATGGATTTTATGATTGAATGTTAGTTTGCAGTGCTATATGCACTACCCTATGTACCTCCTCGGATGTTGACAAACCTCATACGTGGCCGGGTGCGTCCCGACGTATGAGGGGAGATGTGACAGTAAGATGGCTGGTGAGAATGTAGCCAGGCCCAAGTGACAGTAAGATGGCTGGTGAGAATGTAGCCAGGAGTATGATGGCTGGTGAGAATGTAGCCAGGCCCAGTGTGAGGTCGCACGCGTCTTTGGGTTAGCCGGCGTGTTGACAGACCCCGTACGTGGCCGGGTGCGTCCCGACGTATGAGTGGGAGATATGATGGTAAGATGGCTGGTGAGAATGTAGCCAGGCCCAGTGTGAGGTTGCACGCGTCTTTGGGTTAGCCGGCGTGTTGACAGACCCCGTACGTGGCCGGGTGCGTCCCGACGTATGAGTGGGAGATATGATGGTAAGATGGCTGGTGAGAATGTAGCCAGGCCCAGTGTGAGGTCGCACGCGTCTTTGGGTTAGCCGGCGTGTTGACAGACCCCGTACGTGGCCGGGTGCGTCCCGACGTATGAGTGGGAGATATGATGGTAAGATGGCTGGTGAGAATGTAGCCAGGCCCAGTGTGAGGTCGCACGCGTCTTTGGGTTAGCCGGCGTGTTGACAGACCCCGTACGTGGCCGGGTGCGTCCCGACGTATGAGTGGGAGATATGATGGTAAGATGGCTGGTGAGAATGTAGCCAGGCCCAGTGTGAGGTCGCACGCGTCTTTGGGTTAGCCGGCGTGTTGACAGACCCCGTACGTGGCCGGGTGCGTCCCGACGTATGAGTGGGAGATATGATGGTAAGATGGCTGGTGAGAATGTAGCCAGGCCCAGTGTGAGGTCGCACGCGTCTTTGGGTTAGCCGGCGTGTTGACAGACCCCGTACGTGGCCGGGTGCGTCCCGACGTATGAGTGGGAGATATGATGGTATGATGGCTGGTGAGAATGTAGCCAGGCCCAGTGTGAGGTCGCACGCGTCTTTGGATTAGCCGGCGTGTTGACAGACCCCGTACGTGGCCGGGTGCGTCCCGACGTATGAGTGGGAGATATGATGGTATGATGGCTGGTGAGAATGTAGTCAGGCCCAGTGTGAGGTCGCACGCGTCTTTGGGTTAGCCGGCGTGTTGACAGACCCCGTATGTGGCCGGGTGCGTCCCGACGTATGAGTGGGAGATATGATGGTAAGATGGCTGGTGAGAATGTAGCCAGGCCCAGTGTGAGGTCGCACGCGTCTTTGGATTAGCCGGCGTGTTGACAGACCCCGTACGTGGCCGGGTGCGTCCCGACGTATGAGTGGGAGATATGATGGTATGATGGCTGGTGAGAATGTAGCCAGGCCCAGTTTGAGGTCGCACGCGTCTTTGGGTTAGCCGGCGTGTTGACAGACCCCGTACGTGGCCGGGTGCGTCCCGACGTATGAGTGGGAGATATGATGGTATGATGGCTGGTGAGAATGTAGCCAGGCCCAGTGTGAGGTCGCACGCGTCTTTGGATTAGCCGGCGTGTTGACAGACCCCGTACGTGGCCGGGTGCGTCCCGACGTATGAGTGGAGCTATGTGATTGTGTTTGGTGTGTTGTGATAAATTTATATGGATGTGATGGTTTAATTGATATCAGGAGCCAGGTTTGATAGGAAAGAGCTACGTGTGGCTTGATCCCTTAGTAGGGTACGTAGGCAGCCTGGGATAGCGCCTAGGTGCAGCCACGACTTAGACACCACTTAGGTGGTTTTATCGTGTATGATGCGGACCTCGTGGTTGGTCCCGAAACTTGGTTGAATTGAGGCTTGTCCGGTGGACTGAGTGAGTGAAGGTGTGCATAGAGAGATTTGTAATTTGTTATATGCATGGTTGATGCATGAAGTTATTTTGAAAACAGTGTGGGCAGTCTGCTAGAATCATTTGAAGGCCGGAGGCCATTTATGTAAATTGCATGAGATTATATTGTGCGTGCTGCTGGTTGGGTTATAAAATGAGTTTTATGCAGGTGGAACTTTTGGGGAATATTCAATTTACAGGGGAGACTCTGCCGAAATTTTCGGCAGAAAGTCTCGTGCCCTTAATCCTCTATGGTGAACGAGGACGTAGATTTAAGGAGTAAACCCGGCGTGGGTGTGATGCCGGGGGTCTCCGCAGGGTTCGTCTCAGGTTCCGGGAAATTCGGGACGGGTCCTGTCAGTTTATGCATTATTAGGAATAAAAGTTGTTCAGTTTTCCAACAATACACTTAATTTTTTATTATTAAAAGTTATTAATATGAAGAGTCATTTAAGGGTCAAAAGTGTAATTTAAAAATTATAACAGGCGTAAGTTAGTCCCAAAAAAAAGACTGCAATAAATGCCTCCCAAGTGGGGGGAAAAAGTTTCCCAAAGTGAACCAAGAGTACGAAATTCCTCCATACATGGGAGGTACCCATGAGTCCAGAATTTCATTCCCAAGAGAGCACATACCAAACATCGGAATGCAATTTGAAACCCATTCCGAAGCTCCTAATACCAAACGGGCCCTTAGGGTAAAAAATATTTTTGGTTGCTTGGGTTAGGCTCAAAGACAATTTTGGTCACCATGATTTCAACTTTCTCAATTTCATCATATCACTTGCAGTCATGAACAAATCAAGTCCAATTCTTTAATTCCGTCAATTTGAACGCATGTGCTGCATACGTACTGGGGAATTATTAAACCTTCGCCCTAGTCATTATCAGAATCTCATTTCTCTCGCAATTAACATAACGTGGAGGATTAGAAAAGGCGATTTAGGGTTTTTACTAAGTGGGAAAAGGGGACTTGATTTTCAGTCAATTTTGATCCAATTTACGGTTTGTGCGTCGATGTTATCTCTTTGGTTTCAATATGAACAATGATGCCAACCCTGCAGTTTTCAGTTTGTCAATATTTTCCTTCCATTAAATTGTCTTAACTAGAAGGAAGAAACATCCATGCAATTTCATTCAGATGTGAAGTCCAAGTAGCTAGGTAGCATATAATTCGTTCTCTTTTCATGTGAGCATCATGTGGTCCGTAACCCACCCTGTGATCTGTGTATAAATTCAAAGAGATTTGTATAAGAAAATTTATTGAATGTATCCCTTTCGATTTCGAAATATTTTCAGATCTAAAACAAAAATCTTGAAATATTTATCAAGATAGGCATCCCAACTTGCCAAAACTTAGGGCTTGCAGGTTACAGCAGAAAGTGGTGGGATAGTAACCGCGTACGTACTCTTCAGGAACATGGTTCTCGAATCTGTGATTTGGGCACAAAAGCAATATGGTCATGTTATTGGAGACACCCAAAATCGTTTTTTGTCCAACTGGATTAATAGAACTTTGAGGGACCTAAGAAGATGCACTGTGTGTTGACATTGTTTAAACGTAAAAGGAGGGACCAAATAAGCAAGATGGAAATTATGTGGTTGCTGTTGTTCAAATTGAAACTTTAAAGCAAACTTGTGGAGTACCACCGAAAAACCGAAATACATTCGGTGGGAATCTCCTGAAAAATAGAAACAAATTCGGTGGACTACCACCGAAATAAGGTAACAATTTCGGTGGTAACCCACCGAAAGTAAAATCAATTTTAGTACAACTCAGGTTTAACTTTGGTGGACTACCACTGAAACAATGTAACCACTAAAATCTAGTTTCGTAAAACCAAGTTTGAACCATACAACCCACAACGTTGAAATCAATAATCAAAATCAGACTTTGGCTTTTCAAAAGTGAAATCAAACGTAGGCTTAATCAACACTTAGAAACGTAAATATAGAAATCAAAATTGAAATCAAACCTTGGCTCTTCGAAGGATTTGTGAAAACTTGACAGAGATGAGTTCGGGTTTGCAGAGATGGGTTGTGCGATGGGGTTCAGTGGTTTGCAGAAATGGGTTCGGTGGTGAGCAGAGACGGGTGTTTCAGAGATGGGTTCGGGTTTGCATAGATGGGTTGTGCGATGGGGTTCGGTGGTTTGCAGAGATGGGGGTTCTGTGGTGAGCATAGATGGGTTCTGCGATGGCAAAGGGATGGGGTGTGCGGTGGAGGTTGTTGTAAATCTGATGGGATGTGCGATGGGGTGTGTCTGCAAGATGAGAGAATTTTCGATGGGGTGGGGCTTGATATCAGATGGGGTGGGGTTTGATTTCAGATGGGGTGTGTCTGAAAGGGAAGGGGGTTTTCGGTGGGTAGTGTATGATATGGGATGGGGTTTACACAGTGAGTTAGGGAATGGGGTTCATGAGGGCAATTTAGGAAAAAAAAAAGGGATATAATGAGTAATTTGAAATTTTATTAAAATTTAGTGGGTGTAAAAAATTATGGAGTGTAAAGAGCAATTAACGGGGTTCATATAGAATTTCCTATAACTAAATATCTCTAATATTTTTCCGTATCCTATTGGGAAACTTGGCCGACAAGGACATGTCGAAATCTATAAATACGCATTGGTCCCTAATCACTCTCATGTCTCTCTCTTGCTTTCACTCTCTCTCTTGCTCTCACTCTCTTGCTCTCAGTATTGTCAAAGATGATGATCGCCGCCAACAAGCAGCTTGCGTTTGGTTTTGGGGGCGATCAATAATTGCTATGGCTGCTGTGGCTATGGCCGCGGCCCGTATCAAAAGAGGAAGTTGAATAGCCGTACTGATCGTCAACTTAATCTGATTTGTGGGTCGTGCTATTTACCCAAAGAGAACCAGGAAAATCCCCTGGGCGAAGACGCCCACTTCATCTGCCATGATGCCCAGACCATCGGAGTGGCGGACGGCGTCGGCGGCTGGGCCAGGAAAGGCGTCGACGCCGGCGAGTACGCTAGGGGACTCATGGACCACGCCAAGAAAACAGCCACGGACATAACCAGATCCTCCACCGCCGCCGTCGATCCAAGAAAGGTGTTGAATGAAGCCTACGCGAACAATGCTGGAGTACAAGGGTCGTCGACGGCTTGCATCCTCAGCCTCGACAAGGAGCGTGGGACCCGAAGGTTGGGTACTTTTATGTAGTCAACCCTTTTTTTCGTTTTTTGTTTAGTTTTTTTTCAGATTACAACATTAGCTATTGATTTGTTCCAATGCAGAAGGCTCTGTAATTTGAATGCACAAGAGAAAATTACACTTGAATGTGTGTACATGCATGAGCTTTTGTGGATGAAGGCATGACAGATAAAAAGACAGATCTATCCTTTATTTATTAGAAATAATGAAAATGTTCGCATTACAATAATTTCTGGTGAAAAATGAATGAATCTAATCTCTATCTTCCTTACTGTGCTCTAAAGTTTTACAATCCACTTGCCTCTCTGAGTACAATGGAGGAAAGCTGCACCTATAACCAATGCATGTATACAACTTTGAACATATTTACAAAAACATCAGCCACGCTGATGCCAAAGCAAAACATAAAGGCAAAGCAGCCACTCCGGTGCCAAAGCAGAACATAAAGGCCTCTTTCCTGACACTACAAGAGCACGAAAGCTTTAGAATCGTTGTCATTTATATTTCGTTTCCTTTTTCTTACGTTCCAGACTCGTGTGCCCAAAACGCATCCGGATCTGGGAAAAATAGAGAATGATCTTGGATTTCTAAATTTGCTATGTGCCAGTCCACAAACAGCGCCTGCATTAACTTGAATAGCAGAAGAATGGATGGTAAAAGCCACCACTTATCGTCATCCCTGAGAGCACATACAGTTCAGAAGCATATAACGTGTACAAAAGATGCAACGTCACATGTACAAAATAATTTCATAATTAGTTTTAAGAGAGGATTAATTTCTTTTTAGCCCCTTAATTAACAGCAACAAAAAGGAGAAGGATCCTTCTTCAATAAATATAAAAGGGACTAGCCTTTTTTAAACATATTACAGAACAGCTTAATAACAAATACTGACAAGAGACTAAAGTTAAAAAACCTAGAACCAAAAATAGTTCAATCAGCATGTACAGGTAAGGTAAAGGTCACTCCAACACACTCTAAAGAACTCTAAATTGGTTTGGCTCTCTGCAAAAACTGGTTTTCACCTCATGTTTGCCACTCTATGCATGTATTTTTACAGGCACATTAACATGACTAACAAGCAGCAGTTAGTTCCATCCAAAGAATCTTATTATTTGCTTCAAGGTAGAATGGAGGCCTCACCTTCTAGTGTTCCATGTATTTGACTTGTGAGGTGGCTGGAAAAATGAAAATCCATAATGTAAAATGCCGCACATGAAAGCGACCACCTGCAGAGTTCAAAATTAATTACATAACTCGACAGTAATAGTTGAGTGGGGAGATCTAGATGTCGAAACATTTGAGCTGCTTCAGGAGAGGATCCCCATTTTTTTTTTCAAGAAATTGGGAGAGTTTGTGGGGCCCACCTTGCACTATTGTTCAAAGGTCAGAACCGTCTTATTTTTCGACGCTCAACACGTATGCTCACAATTTTAGAACGAGTCACTACCCTACCCCCTCCACCACATACTAGTGCTAGAACATAAGCATGGTGAGCAATGACCGCAAAAAGCATGGTGAGTTCAACCCAACTCCCCGCTTAGAAATTAATGGTTATGGGCAACTATGAATATAGAAATCGCTCTAAGTCTCATGCATATCCATAAGTTGTTCCTAACTTGTAATAGAAATTTCAAAAAGCAATTATGCTAAACCATATTTCAAGCGCTGTATAACTTACAATATTAGAAAGTGATGTAGCATTCCACAATGCATATACACGAGCAAGTGAAGCTCTTCTAAGTTCCTTACTGAATAAGGCATTCAATCCAGCAAGGAAGGGAGAGAGAAGGGATAAAGGAAGTATAAGCAAGACAGCAAGGAAAGCCCCAAGAGATATCCAATAGAATTCAAGTAACATAAGAATGGTGACAGAAAGATCTGCTAACAGCATGAAACTTATCAGCAGCAGCAGGGTGTCCTGAAACATACATTTATATTATATCTTGAATGACATCAGAATTGTGCCTATTTTAAATACAATAAAAAAAATCTAATTGAAGTACCTGACGACCAACAGGTCTTGTATTGTGCAGTAAGAGAGAGAGTGGAAAGAGGAAATCCCTTTTATAATCCAAAGATCTCAAGGTAGTATGATTTATAAGACCTCCATTAATTCCTCCAGTTATCCTTTTAACAGATAATGCATGACCTACAAATGGCCAATTTTGCTGCATCTGCTTTGAACATTTTCTTGTGCATGCAGCATTGGACCTGATTTTAGATAAAGAATTAATAAATTAGTCAATAATCATTATGCTAAAAAATACATGCAGGGTTCAGGAATCAATCACTTGTGCATTCTAAGGGTTCAAGCTGCTATATTTTCCAGCCCCAAAAGGATATCAGTGCAGTCAGACGTTTATGCCTACAACAATCACGAAAAAAGAAGGGAACAGAAAAGGAAAAACTAAAAAACTTCTTTGTTTTTATCCATGCCATGCAAGTCTTACAAGTTTGAAAACATTCTTAATGGACACTAACATTCTTAATTGGTTGTAGAAACACTACGTTAAAATGGAAAAATGGATAAGCCCATCACACTTGTTTTGAAGCATGCAAAAATTGGAGGTCCAGGGTGTGTATGAGCAATCAATGGATGCTCTTAAAAAAGAAATGTAAGTGCAAATAATCAAAGTTACCTTGGTAGCTCGTTATCCCCCATATCAGACTGGTGCAGACTTTGAAGTGGATAATCCCCAACCACTACCAATATTCCCAGCTGATAATAACCAGAGGCTGTTGCTTGAAACCACCCAAGCTCAACTCTAACTCCATGAAACACAAGTTGAGGGTTTGCATGGCTATTTATCCAATTAATCACAGGAATTAGGTGAGAACGGATAGATCCATGCCTCACCATCCTCAACTGAGCATTCAAACCAGCAACCAAATGATTCCAAACAGTTTCTGGGACATGCTGAGAATAGAATGACATGATTTACAACGGATATGTATAACAAAATAATAATCAGTAGGTTACTTAAGTATCACGTGAAACTACAGACCTGGCCAAGGAGGTTGGTCAACAACGTATCATTGTGAAGATTATAAGGTGACATATAGCTGCCATCACCACCAAAAATTATGCACATGGGGAACCTCTTCTGTATGATTGATACCATATCTAGACGCTTCTCATCACCACCAAGGAAAAAATCAATATATGCCAACATTAAGTCTGGTGTTGCTCCAACCTGCATCAATTTCAATTATGAAGATGAGACACAGAAGAAAATTAACATATCATTCAATACCCGTGAAGAACTCAACATAAATGAATTGCTAGAAACTAATATTTTTTGGTAAGTAAAATTTACGTCAAGAAAAGGATACTATTGTATGCAGTAAGTGTCCAAAGTACCCAAAACAGGAAAAATTGAAAAAAGAAACAACAACCCTAAACCTTCCAAAGGAAATTTGACAAAGTAGAAAAGGAAATGCAACCCTCTCATCCATTCAAAAAGAGACCTTGACAGCAACAGTTCATTGATTCAATGCTTGTTTTTACACCGTAAAACATTCATCTCTTTTCCTCCCCTCTTCCAAACAATCTACATAACAAAAGAGGCATAGCCTTTCAAACCTCCTACTTCAGTATTCCACCAGCCCACCCAGTCCAACAAGATTGCAATTACAGACTAAAATTACAGACTAAGGCATAGCCATGTGAACTCCAAACATTTTCTGTTCAACAATTGTGGCCTATGAGGTTTGAACTCAAAACCTCCAGCAAAGTGGAGATTAATGCCACTCAATGTGTTCAGAGGCGAATGCACCTAATGCGAGGTATTTTGGGTCTTGCAAGACGAGATGTAAGCCTTGTGGCATAAGACTTTCAAATTATTATTATTTTTTAAAAACTTCTACACAAATAATATATATGAAGGAAAAAAAACATATTAATAGTCATTCATAAAACATATGATATTTAAGATCATCCAACTTAAATAAGAATCCCAACAATTTTTTTTTTGAGAAGAAACGAAATTTATAAAGCAAAAGAACACGGAGGTGGATAAGGCAACCACAGCCGAAGAACAACACCAACCCAAACTAACAGGGAGGAATAAAGCCCAAAAACCACTGAAACAACACACCCCCCAACCCTCACATAACCACTGCTGCCATATCCCTCAAAATAGTAGAAACAGAATAATCTTTAAAATCTTCAGTAACAGAAGCCCACAAAGCTGCCCAGTACTTAACTCTATCCCACAAATCACTCACTCCCACTCCCTTGTAGTCTTCAAAAATTCTCCTATTACGCTCCATCCAAATGTTCCAGAAAACAGAGTGAACCAGACAGCCCCACAAGGTTGAGGCGCGCTTCCCCGAACCCCACACCTCAAAATCAGAACAAAGGAAATCAGCGCACCCTTTCGGAATCACCCAAACGGTCCCAACCTCCCTCCACAAAAGGCCCCAAAGACTTAAGGAAAAGGGGCAATGTAAGAAAAGGTGGTCCACACTCTCCTCACCAAGCTTACATAACACACACCACTGAGGAGACAAATACATGAAAGGTCTTTTCCTTTGGACAAGATCCGAAGTGTTAACTTTCCCAAGCGCCACCAACCAAACAAATACTTTGACCTTAGGGGGGGACTTGGCCTTCCACACACTAGAGAAAGGAAGAAAGGTCACAACACTCCCCTTGTTGCGTAAAAAGGATTGAAAGGACTTGCAGGTGAAAAAACCCGACACCTCAAGATCCCACCTTCTCCTATCCCTTTTAGAAGCACACAATCTGAAACCTTCCAGAACTTCCAGCAATTTAATCACCTCGGCAGTCTCCCTATCATTCAGATTTCTCCTAAACCCAAAGTCCCAATTCTGAGGAAAAACGTGAGAATCAACAAAACGGTCAATGCTTAAGGACTGCTTTGAAGACAACGCAAACAAGCGCGGAAAAGAGTCCTTCAACAACCCCTCCTTCACCCAACTATCCTCCCAAAACCTAACCCTATTCCCATTTCCCAACTCAAATCTGCAGCACTGTAAAAAGGATTGATAACCTGCCGAAATATCCTTCCAAGGGTTGAGAGAAGTAACCGAAGTGGCGGGAATAGCATCCCACCCATTAGAAGCTGACCCATACTTGCTTTTAACCACCCTAGCCCATAGGGAATTAGGTTCCCTAGGAAGGCGCCATAACCATTTAGCTTGCAAAGCTTCGTTCTTTTCCCTCAAAGAACCCACACCAAGCCCACCTTCCTCCTTAGAATCCCAACAATGATAATGATCATCCAATAAGATCATTAACAAAAACATAAAAAGCAGCTCCAAAAGAGAAAATACGCTTATCTATCCAAATCCTCATCAATAAGACCACATTCAAGCTAATATCACTATCATCTTTATCTAAGGAATCAACGTGGGATGGTAATTGTCCATTATCAGGAGGCAGAATGCTTCTTCTTTCCACATTGTTTTTATTTTTTAAGTTACCCCTTCCAAATGGTATCGTTCTGGCGTGGGGATTTTTTTTTTTTTTTTTTTCATTTATAAAGCCAAAAGGCTTATGCCTTTCAGTACTTTTGTGAAACAATGGAGCTTCTGGGTTGTTTCCATTGCACCTTGCTATGAGGTGTGCCCACTCCTTTGAAAACATTGATGCCACTAGACCAAACAGTCATTAGCAACTGAATTTTAATAATTATTTTTGTGGTAGCCTAACACAACAATACTTGCTCCGTTGTTCACTACCAAGGATATCATTTATGTGGCTTGGTAATCATGCTGGGTTAATAACAACACTTTATGACATGTAAACTGTGTTATAATCACCTGTTAACCTTTTCTATTTGGTCAGAATAATAACCTGCCAACTGAACACATTATCTTCTTTCATCTTTTTCTTTTTGGCAAAACTTTCACAACAAATAAACTACTGTATAATTTATTTTCATTTTCAGACCTTGTACCATTTTTCTTTTTTTCACCAGTGAATGAAACTTTTGCCAATGCTTGATTGGCAAGAAGTGGTGAAAGGAATGAGTTCTTAGCAAGAGTGGCATGAAATTGATGTCTGCGTCACCCATTATCGGGATATGTCACACATATAGCATAAAAGTGGAACATGCATGCGTCTTGCAATTAGAGAAACAGGTATACATTGAAACTGTCAACATTAGAGATGGATGTATAAAGCAAGATAGTAAAAGGTCCACACTTAGTTGATGGTATTAAACTGCATTTTATAAATTCATCTATTTTAAGATGCCACCATATGTAAATTTTCTACTCCAAATAGAACCTCAGAAACTTACCAAGTATGAATATGAAGCTTGACAATGATTGATTGCGATAATAAGTGTAATTACAAAATTGAAATACTGGGAAGGAAATTTAGTAGAAAGAGTAAAACCTTCATCCCTTTGTACAAGGCTCGAGATCTGCAAGAGCGAAGACATGAATGGTCATATTCAGACTTCACATATTCCTGAAGGCGATGAACTTTATTTCTTTGCCGCCACTGTTTCCAGGACCAGGAACAAGGGTACGCGAGAACTGAAAGTATACTATGCACAGACCCTTCCCACCAATCATATGCAGCAACAGAATTGATCTCATCAATAAATCTGTTAAATGCATCTTCATATCTGTAACCCAAAAAAGGGGTTGCAAAAACAAATAAATATTGTTACATATTAGACAGAACAAGCAGATGCAAACCTAAGTGGTGCTTTCCATTAATCCATTATCTTGGACTAACAATTAACTAATTATATTAGTTCTAAGAGAACAAGCGTTCTTTTCTAAGGCAAAAAGTATCTTGGAAGAAAAACTTTCAAACCAAATTATTAGAACCAACAGGTTAGATAAGTTTTCTTGGTTTCAGGTGCACTGACATCAATGGCCAATACCTAATCACATATACTAATCCAAAATATCACTGTCATATTCCTTAAAAAATGTCACTGTCATATTAGCATCCAATTGTAATATCGCATAGACTTCTAAGTTCAGTAATTTTCTTACACAATTTCAATGATTGCATTTGGAGGAGAGTAAGGAAGATGCCATGGCTCTCTGAAAGTATTAGGACCCATGAAGTACATTCGATGAACATGGCTTTGAGTTTCTTCAACTCTGGTTCCCCGTACCTATGTTATTATTATTTACAAAATAAAAAATAAACATGTCAAAAACTCTGCAAGGCAATCAAATCATAGCTGTGGAAGCATAATTTGAAATAAAGGAATACTTGTTGTATACCTCAGATAGGGAAAGAAGACACGGGAATTGATGATGACTGTGCTGTTCAATTGAACCAGCCCTGTGATATGAACATGAACCAACCAATTTGATTCTCAAAGTCCTTAGTAACAAAGCCAGAACCACCAAAACGCATGACAATAAAATTGCAAAAGGCCAGGGCCCCCCGAAAGTATACAAAAGCTCCTCGAGAGGTGTGTAGCATTTTGGCATCCCTATAATTGTCAGATACACATTTATAGGGACATGATGGCCGAGTCACCCCGCCTACAGCAAGTGTGCACCTTTTCGTGAGATGAGAGACAATATTAAAATAAAACAAAAAACTACATTTGGGAACACAGAGAGAGAGAGAGAGAGAGAGAGAGAGAGAGAGAGAGAGAATCAAACATAAAAGCTAAAATATGTTCATCAAAATACCTCGCACATAGATGAACTCAGCACGACTTGGAAGAAGATCAACAGAACAAGGAATACAAAGATGTGCATCAGAACCATCAACATTTTTGAATGTGCCAACAGGGCATTCCTGTAACAGAACGCAATTCTCAAAAACCTTAAAAAAGAAAGAAAACGAAAACAGATATAGCAGATATACCTCACAATGATCAAACAGGATAACCTTTTTAAATGAGAATCTGTTTATGTTGCAAAGACTCTAAGTGGCTTCCCCTCAAGTGTTTTGGCCAGCACCACTTTGGTGGACGGAAAGATAGGAAGAAGGATTTAGACTTGCATGGAACCCAATTCAATCAATAATGAAATTCTTGGATGTAAGAAATGTTCTGCAACATGGACGCCCAGCCCAACTCCATCCAAGGGTTCAATCAATTCCTTAATGATGTCTTGACTGACTTCAAACTGGAAGGGCAGGGGCCAATGTATAGGAAAGGAGTCCAAGAAGAAGGTCAAGCCTGAGGTCAAGAAAAAGACCCTGCTGTTTATGTTGCAAAGACTCTAAGTGGCTTCCCCTCAAGTGTTTTGGCCAGCACCACTTTGGTGGACGGAAAGATAGGAAGAAGGATTTAGACTTGCATGGAACCCAATTCAATCAATAATGAAATTCTTGGATATAAGAAATGTTCTGTAACATGGACCCCCAGCCCAGCTGCATCCAAGGGTTCAATGAATTCCTTAATGATGTCTTGACTGAATTCAAACTGGAAGGGCAGGGGCCAATAGTATAGGAAAGGAGTCCAAGAAGAAGTCAAGCCTGAAGTCAAGAAAAAGACCCTGCTGTTTGTCCTGTCTGTCAGTAGTGGTTTCTTTGAATTTCTTTGTACACACAGACGTAGTGGCACATAGAATGTGGGTGTTTTTTGAGGTCCAAGGTTCAAGATAGGAGAAATGCAAAACCCAAATATTCTTTAAGTGAGTCCTATTGGTTCAGATATTGACAACGCCAACCAACTTTGATGAGTTAAACAGATATTGACTCGATCAAACCCACACAAAGGTGGCACGCTGGTCCAATCTGACTGGTTCGGCTCAGGCCAGTTTAGTGAGGTTGGAAAGCAAAATTCCCACCGTAAAGAAAACTTTATACTAAACCGGAATTAAGCAACAAAAACAGAAACTCACAGAGGTTGTTTCAAAGCACAGTGAGGCCAATTGAAGCATGGCATGAAACAAGCATATTGGGCCTAACTTAAATGGCTGACACAACCATTTTACACCACAAACTGATGCATATATTGAAATAAAGGGTAGCGTGAACGTGCACAGGTTTCTATGTTTGATACCACAACCATTTATACTAGAAAAGAGACATATTCCACTATGAAATACCAAATGAAAATTACCTTGCAGAAGGTTCCATAAAGGCCCTTTGGGCATTTTTTCCCAGTGATAGTTCCATCGCTTCCATGACAACCTCCATCATCCCCAGCACCTCCACTAACAGAGATCAGCAAGAAATTAAATTTCCATTATTGAGTTCTTTTCATACTACGGCTTATTAAGAAAATAAAAGAAAAAACTATTCAAGTAACATTTGTTGAAAGATGAAAATTCTACACTCAACCATACTTATCCCAGTAGGCTTAAAAGAACAGTCTGTATGTAGTCTGACAAAAAATTAAAAGATAACATTTGAAAATTAAAAAAGAAAAGCAAGTTTGCAGATATTTTTAGTATAGATTAAGAGGACAACCAAATGACGGGTTTTTCGGTAAAAAGTTTTTTATTATTTATAATAAGTTATTATTCTGAAGATGGGATAATGAGAATATCCATACTTTTGTGACAATTTCAAGCTCTCGAGGTAAAGGATTTGCTAAGAAAACAATTCAAATCTAGAAACAATTTGTTAGCAAATATGGGGATGAGGTATGATATGCCAATTTCATAAGAAATGGAAGGCATGAACTATCATGTGCAATAACCCCATCAGAATCATGTAGACAAAAAATAAGATTGAAACCTAAAAGCAGATGTCAACATGATCTTCTCTTTCATCATAAAGACTATCATTCTATAAATGCTCAATCAACTAAAATACTTTGTTTGATCAGAAATATTTTCTTCTTCTTCTTCTTCTTCTTCTTTTTTTTTAATTTATAATAAATTCGGTAATTTACTTTTATTTTCTGCTTGGGAGAAAGATTGTCACTGTATTTGATACTCGTGTTCTATCTTGTATCATCTTGCCCCTACCAGGGAAAGTTCCTTGGTCAAATACGTAAACTCTTCTTTTATACTAGCAAGTTGGTGTCGAAGCAGTAGTAGAAAGGGTGCTCTATTTGTTTTGGTAAACTCAGACTGTTACCATTAGTAATTAGCAACCTAATCAAATTGATAGTAATAGCTAAGGTGCTAGTGATAGTCTTCAGAACAGAAAACCAGGTAAATGTCAAATTCAATGCATACTCTTAGCCATTTAATTCCCATGACCAAGGGTAATGATGGAAATAAAAAACTGAGAAACTACAATATCAGACAAACTTTTTTATGTTTTATTATTATGAAAATCAGTAACGTGATTGAATGGTTGAATAAGCCTCTTTGAGGAAAGTATTCTCTTTATTGCAATTGTATAAGGAGTTTCTGCATTTTATGAAAGTCCCCAGAGCATCTGGCATTCAAAATCATGCACAACAATTGTGTAAGGAAGTGATAGTGTATCAAGAAAATGTTTTACAAATATATTTGACCAAAAAGCTAGAAAACTCATCTTAATGTGTTGATTCCCCATATCCAAAAAGGATATTCAAAGAACTGATAGCAGCACAATCTTAGATTTATGAAAATTATAGACACCAAATCATACCTGCTGTTAATGGAGCCACTTATACTAGCAACCGGAACATATTCATCCTCAAAATCTAGCTTAGACCAATGAAAATGAACTCTTCCACCCCCACCCCCACCTCCACCAAGAGGACCACCTTTGCCCCCAGCAACAGATAAAGATGAATTCTGTGCAAGTAATCCAAGCTCTTGAAGGAAATTAGGATTGTCCCACCTGAACCTCCGCCAAGTCCGCCAATCAAAGTACCATTACCATTTCTAGCTGCTTTATGAAAGCTTTGACCATCAGCACTCAATGTTCCAAAGACATCAAGCTTTAAGAGTGGCCACTGGATGGATCCCATCACTAACCAGCATGAAATTGGGTGTAAGTATGACCCAAGTATAATGTCAAATATATTTAAATTAGTAATTCATAGTTGCAGCCACTTGGTTTTTGTTCATCAGCAGTACAACACCCAATTGCATGTCACTAGAAAACATTGTTCCCAGTAAAGGGGGTTCTGGAAGAGCATAAATTTGACATTTTTATATTAAGCAACTTAGAAAGTTTAATAAGGTTACGCTTACCTGTACAAGACTTTTATTATTGGAGTTGAATATTTCCCGTAGTTAATGGTTTCTAAAACAACTGTCTTCCTTTTTCTTTTTCCAGTGCAAGAATAAAGGGTGGTTTTGAAATTGCTTAGTTACAAAGTTTGCTGGTTTACTACTATTGCCAAAAACTTAAGTGCAGCATTGTGGGCCAACAATAATTTTATATTCTAACACTCCCCTCACATATAGGCGTCTTTCCACAACACCTGAGCCCAACATGTGAAGTTCATTCTGTGTTGGGAGGTTGCAATAGCAGTGAGTTGAAGTCAAGATTTCATGACACTATGAAAAAGTTTGCTGGTTTACCACTATTCTCAAAATTTAAGCCATAGATGTGTGCCAACAATTTTTTATATGTTCGAAAACTTACCAAGCATTCCCCCTCCAACCACATTCCCATATGACGGACTGGGACCCTCAGCTCCACTCCCCAATTCACATGGGAGATCAGCATTGCCATATTCATTACCACCATTGCACACCCTTCCATTAAAGTATCCAGAGCCCCCCCTTCCCCCGTGTCCAGCACCACTACCAGCTCCATTTGAAAAGTTTCCACTTCCAATACCTTTACTGCAACCTGAAAATAGATGGTTTTGATTTAATCAAATGCGTAACACATTTCACATCTTAGCTCTAGAATAACCTCCTTTACCTAGTTCTGATGCAGTGATCAGGCCATTATTATCTACAATAATAGTCCTCGCCCTGTGGATGTGAATTACACTTCCCTTCACGACACCATCAACAAGAAGGTCCTCAACACGACAAATCTGCAAAATGTGAAACACAAATATACTTTGAACAACAATAACGGTGAACCCACAAGTTGATACTTCTATGGGTAATCAACCGGTCAGAAAGAGTTGATTTCAATCAAGAGTTGAAGCCACAAATTGAAGAAAGAAACCAACATAAAAGAAAGTTTTGGTAGTGGTAAAACTCATGATCAGCATCCAGACCAGAAATGGAAGTCCAGGCAAAGTTGGACCAGTCTCCTGCTTTATAGTTATCAAAAGAAAAAAGAAAAATTGAAATGGGAATAGCTCTTGCAGGTTGTCCAACTGTATACAATTTGGAAAAGCCACACAAAATAACATTATAATTTAGATTATGAAACCCATGAAACTTAACATACTAATAAGATAAGCCAACAGGAAGGTTAGATTCCAAGTAGAACTAATTTTCTATGATAGCTATCTAATTGACTAGAAGTCTAATTTGACAAAAGAGAAAAACAAAAACAAAATTTACTAGAAGTCTACGGCATACATAAAATAAAGACTTCGTACCTTACACATTAAAAATAAATCATGCTTAAGAAAATAATTAAAATTACAATAAAGCAGGTATTCTGTTCCAATATGCTTTAGCATCTCTCCATAAATCTCTAATAAAATTCTTAATCTTACTTGAAGTGAAAAGGAGAGTGTATAATTAACATGGCAATCATCCGGTGGAGTAATCAAATCCAATGGACATGCTTGACTCTCACAAAGGGATTTTGTTACCCTACAAAATTGAATTCACACAAAAAAAAACGTCAAAAAGTCAAAAAAATTCTCAGGGAAGAAAACACAAGCACAGAGGAACAAGACCCTAAACTTCATACTCACACGTTTCTGCTAGCATCATCATCCAATGGAGCCTGAAGTAAAGAACCAGCACCAACCTGTTGTAAGCAGTATGAAAACTTGTAAAGCAGTTTGTCCAAATGGAATTCTACAGTTTCACTACCATAAAAAGGAAATGCAGGGCAAAGTAACAGCAGAATAGGTTACAAATAGATCCATTTTGGCCAGAATTAAAGGAAAAAAACTGAGCCACCAGAAAGAAACATACAATAGTTACTGATAGCCGAAATGTCACATTCCAAAAACATATAAACAAAAACTTCTCGGGTAGTTTAGAATTGTATAAAAATTTAAACGCACTAGTGGAATCAGTCACTATGGTAGTTGTATGTTCTGAAAATGTCATGCAATGCTATCAGAAGACAAAAGATAAGATGTGATGATGAAATGATGACAACAAAGAAATAATGTGTAAGTATAATTTTTTCATAGTTGTCAAAAACCCATGGGCAAACAGGATTTATTTTTCAAATCTATGAGCTCTTGCTATTTTCAAATCAGCATTGAGGCAATTAGAAATAAATTTTCTTTTTCAAAAGAAACGAACTTTTATTGACGAAAACTAAAAGGATACAGCAGAAGTGGCCAAGAAGGTGACAGAACAAAACAGCTAGAACATCTAACACTACAAGAGAGACAAACGCTTACAGTGATGTTATAAAAGAGAGACAAGGAGAGCCTCTGGGCTTTTATTGCATCACCATGACCAGTCAACTTCAGTAGTCCCTGGCCATATACACCCAAGTTTGTATTTGAACTAATGACAGAGTTTTGCTGCAAAAACACAACATATCAACTCCGCTTTTCAACTACCAAGAACAGGTGAAAGGTTTAAAATACAATGAGTACTAAATATAAATAAGGATGAGGTTCAGACCATCATACCCTCAGAACAATCAGATTCCTGACTTCAAGGACTGAAGCAGTAACAATGGGATTTCCACCACCATCTATTTGAATTTTGGAGTTCCACATGAGTAACATCTTGACAGCAACTCTAAATGCACCAAAAACCTTCATATATATTAAGATACCTTTTTTAGACTCTTTACAGAAAACAACAGAAACTTCAGAGCCTGGAATTAGAATTCTACAAAGATCCCACAGCATCAACCCGCCAAGTTATTTTATATCAAAGTAGCACTAAATTCTTGAACAAAAAGAAAAGCAAAGAAGAAATGGTAAACTCTCAATTAGTTCATTAATAGCACTCTTGAGTAAGCTTATACCACAGGCAAACATGATTATTCAATAGCTCCAGGAAGATATGCCGATTTCAAACAGAAAAATCTAATGAAACAACGTAGAACAACCACCTAGAACAGGTTTAACCTACGACTAGCAAGAGGAAGTTGGATCCCTCATCGAGGAAATCCCTAGGGTAATCCTATTGCTTTTGACTTTCTTGGTTAGGTACCATAAAAGAGTTTATGTTGGTGAAATTTTGAAGAACCACAAAAAAGTTTGAACTTGAGTTCAGCCTTGAAATGTATGTGTGTGATCCTCATCTTTCCCAAGACGCTTGCACTTTGGTTCAAGCGCATCCATAATTATTCAGTTCAAGCTTGATTGAGATTTGATGAAACCAAGCTCAAACAAGTTAGACAATGACTGTCTCACCTTTCTTGGCTTGATTGCATCAAGGGTTTAGACAATTGCTTGGACTAAGAACATTGATAAATAGAAAAGAAAATGAAATGCTCTGATAGCTGCTTGCCTTTATGATGGAATCACTCATCAGAAGTTCTTCAGCAACAAGCTCAAATTCTGAAATTGGATACTCAGACAATCCAAAGATGATGCTGCCCCCACGGTATAGACTAATTTGGCCTCTCACCTTCACAATCAAAGGGGATGCACACCAAAATAAGTGCATGTATCTTCTGGATAGAGCATACAAAATGAAGGAATTCACTTAAAGAAATAAAAAAGATAAAACATGTAATACTTGTAAATCCATCACTTCTTGACCAATTCTATGGTAGTGCCACGGTACTTCTAATATGACAGAAACATATCCCATGGTAAGAAAGGACTGTTTTTCAAGTTCTTAGTTCCAAATTTTAAATGTCTACAAAATGAAGCACTTTTATGTTTAGAAAGGACAATGTATAAGATAACCAAAATACGAGTGTTTTCAAAACCTCTTCAATACCTATTGCAACTTAGTCTTAAACACCCCACACCCTGTGTCCAACTTCATTGAATCAGGCCCATTGTCCCCTTCACATAATTTCAATCAACCCCTATAGTTTTAGTTCCCCAAGGCCACATTAAGCACTGTTCCCCACAGTTTTAAGTTCTCTATGCATCCATGGAAGCACTGCTGTGCTAGGAGCTTAGCCTTAGATAATGGACCCAACTAGCAGGTTTAGGAAATACTATAAGTCTATAACTCCACAAAGAGGTCCCCAGAAAAACACAAAGGTACCTAAATTATATCATCTCCCTAAAAGTATCTTTCAACTTTAGATCAAGTACCATTTTCCTACAATATAAGTTAAAACTTGTGTAAATATCTACAAGTGCAAAAGATAGGCAACCTTTCCATTTAAGTAGGATTGAACCTCGGAACTTCCCCTTCATCCTTAATCTTGAGACGAAGTACATTAGGCCCCAAAAGCCATTGAAGGTCAATAATAGCAATGGAAAATATTTCCTAACTTCATTCCTACTTGCAAACTTGATCAACAATAGCTAGACACACTCACCTACAAAGGACGGATACTCCAAAAAAGTTAGATATGGAGTATCAGGTACAAATACACCTCCAATATGGCTGTATACACACCTGATATTCCAAAATACATATCCGCTGGCTTCTTGGAAAGTTTTGACTTTGGGATATGGTAACGATATGCGACTGATACAATGTGGATACGCCTAGGATACAAGGTAGGAGTATTTTTGGAAAATTATTAAAGAAATAAGGGTCTGTAATTTAAACATAATAATAATAACAATAATTAAGGGTCGGTACAAGGAAAAAAACATAAATATAAATAAGAGCTGGGGCAAAAACTTCATTCAAGTGCATTATTATCAATAAATGTATAAGGGCTCACACTATAGAGTGAGCATGATGCATGAACAATGGAATGGAATCAATAGATATTACTGTTATCTTTCCAAGGCATATAAAATACATATTTATATGTGCATTAATTAATTCTTGTATCCTTTACGTATCTGTATACTATTATTTAGAGATTTTTCATACAGCCGTATGCTATCATATCTTGTTTTCATGTTCGTATAACTGAAACATACAACACACACATATTAAACCTTAAAACTCACCATTCATCTCTGTTATCCAGATAGAGGTGATATTAGGACCAAAGGCCATTGAAGTCAACAGTAACATAATTAAGGGAATGGAGCCATTCTTACGATTAGTTAAGTTGTTGCAAAGATGCTGTAAAATTGCAGCACCATTTTGTATACCTAAACAAGTTCCCAGAAAAGTACAATGTAACAGGAATGCGGTTGGATTCTTCTTTGGTTGATCAATAATATATTTCATTAAATTCTTCTACATATCCATTTTTTCTCTCTACTTTCTTCCTTGAAAACCTAGGGAATATTACTATTCAACATTCATAAATTATCAACAGCAAGGCTACACGAAATGCAGAAAATAGTTTCCCACAGGATGCCTAGGAAAGAAAAAAGAAACAAATGGAAAACTTCATTTGAAATGCAGTAGTGTCCTGATTGGCATTTAAGATGACAAAACAGGTGCCATAATCAAGTCCATACAACAGGGGAGATCCCACAATTAAATGTTATGAAGCCACATTTTTTGCAAAATATATTTGTCCAACCATGGCAAAAAGATTCTTTGCAGAAGTATAGAAATCAACTCATTAAAAATAATTAATTACTTGAGAAGACTAAATTTGCCAACCTGAACTCTGGTCCAAAGAAGTGGAACCAACACTTTTGCATTATTCTCCACAAAAACATGTGACCATAACGGGCTGGTAGGAAAGTCGAGCAAAGGGGTTTCAGTTTCTGTTGTGATATTGTCATTTCCAACCCTTAAACTAAGTAAATCTGCATTAAAGTACGTGCCAGCAGCTCCAGCATTCCCAGGACAACCGATACTCAAACCACCTGACATAATAAAACCATATTAATTTCAAAGCTCCATTTTTCTAGAATAGCTTTGCAAAAGTACAGGCATGTTTCTAACAGAAAGAAACATATTCCAAGAAATATAGTCCAAGACTGCAGACAAAAAAAAATTAATCGATAAGTTGAAAATGTAAACGTAAACCTGCATTTATAAGTGTATATACTACGTGCATGGGAACTGATAACATTAGACTCAAAAAGATATATAGCAATAATCAGCTTAACACAGATGTAACATAAGAACCATTAGATAAATATATTTAAGACTCTAACATAAGAACCAAATATATATCAAATTCAAAAATTGTTGCTACAACTACTAGATACAGATGTGTAATCAGTACAAACCATGCACAGTGACTTTTACATCTTCTTGTATGCTGTAACAATCAAGTGATAACCTTCCACCGCCACCTCCACCCCATCCTCTTCCACCAGCAGCACTTATGGTACCATATCCCTTCCTATGTCACAGGACAAAATTCAAGCAATTGAAGAAACTCAGAGAAGTTCTTTTAGTTTGATTACAATCTTCAAAGTAATTAAATGCATAAAAGTTTCAATTATTTATCCACCAATTTTCTCAAGGAAAAAAAATGCAAGATTCACCATAAGAAGAAAGAATGTTAATCCCATAAGGTACTGATGAACTGCTCATTGATTTGGAAACTGATATAACTTTAAACTGAAGGTGAAGTGTATGATAAATATGACAAACAATTTCTTCAGTATTAATGTAGCTCTATATGAATGCCAATCGATTAGCATTTTCAGCTGTGTTCAACCTGTTGAGTGAAAGGTATGCAGGCTTTGGAGGTAGGAAGAGGGCTAAGGTATTATGGGGCTGAGGAGTTTTCAAATTTGGTGATTTGGATGTAAGGGAACAGAACAACTTTTGAAGGCAGAGGTGGAAGAGGTGTGGTCATACTTATGGTCTTTTTCTAAGCACTTTATGATGTTCCCCTTAGTATAATTCACCTTGATTGGGCAGGATTTTTTTATTGAGTGTGGCTTTGTTTTATGCTTCTTGGTTTCTCTTTCCTAGGTCAACTATTGTCCTCCTTTTGCCATTGTGTTATTTTTCATATGAACTTTCTTTTCCCACTGAGGAAAAAAAGGCACCAAGCGCCTGAACTGGTTTGTACATCACCCACTCCCTAAAGAAAGTATAAGCATAATATCAAATTAAGAAGTATGTACTCACAACTTTACAGCATGTACAGAAATACTTCCACCAGATCCTCCTCCGCCAGTTGTCCCACCATCCCCCCCTTCTGCAGTTACAGACCCATTCATATACAGCATATCCTTCACTTGAAGCTTGACACGTCCTCCACCATTCCCTCCAAATGGAATTTTAGTAGATAAGCCCCTACCCTTACTCCCATAACTCCACGGCTCGGACAATGTTGACCACGTATAAACATCACCACCCCAAAAACTTGACTGATTATTTTTCAAGCAGGAAGCACCTCGGCCACCATGCCCTCCACCACCTCCATCATAGCCCACTGGAGTTCCACTAGTTTGAGAAGGCGGTAATCCACCCAAAGATGTTGTATTTATAGAAGAATTATATTCCATAGTCAGATTGGCAGCAGAAAAAACTACAGAACCAGCAACTATTGCAGCAAATTGACCAATTTTAACATTTCCTGACATATTAAATGTAATCATGCAGCCTTCAATTGGACAGACAATTGATACATGAGGGAGAATCTCCAGGTTTCCAGTACCATATATGTAAAGATCAGAACTGAAATTCAAGTTTGAGTTTAACAAGCATGTAGTATTGAATGATCCAACACCTTCCAGGTCCTCACAAGATACAGAATCATTTAACAGGGATGATAACTTTGCGACTTTATAAGTTGAGTTGCTTCTCTGAAAACCTTCTATTATATCTGAGCTGACATTTTGCAACCAGTCTTCTGAACCATTGGCTGTGCTTCTGTACTGCCCTGAAGTAAGAGAAAGGGCAGATATCCAAACATGCCCCGCCAGAATGCAACACCAAAGGTGCCATTTCATTTGTGAAGGAGGCATTACCACTCAGAGTGACAGAATACTAACGTTTCTGTCATATGCATCTAGATTGAATATAAATCTAACTTTTCAAGCCAGCCTCAGGAGGCAGTAAAGTAGCACACTTTTGACTGGAACATCAGGTTCATCACATCATCTTCAGGAACATTGCCACTTCTACTGTGCATTAACATTGACTATTGTCCTGCAACTATGACCATTAAGTTAAATATGACCTTGGAATCAAGGAATGTAAAAATAGAATAAAATAAACAGCGGAACTTCAAATATATATTTTTCCCTCTTGTTTATTGGATAATAATCCAGTCCAAACTGAGTTGGTCAAAGTGCATATGACCGACATTGCAATTGTCATGTTTAAACCTATATTTCCACTCACCCCTACTGCGTAACTCATCATTATTCTTTGTTATCTGTATTTTCATATTTTACTGCTACAGAATCACAGCTTCACTGTGTATGATCTACCTGCCACACCATTTGCATTGTTTGAAACAAGCAATTCTGTTCAGCAGAATCCCCTAACAACGCTAGACGTGTGTTATTTTGTTCATAGAGAGCTGTCCCTGAAGCCTAAAGAACTGATGTAAATAGGAAACTGGATACTCTTCTTACAGAGGAAGTAAGGGACTGATGATACTCCAGTCACCATTGTAGTCTAGATTTTTAAGGGCAAACCAACAGAAAGCCTATAGGATTATAGTTTAGAAATTGATATCTCAAATTATATTGATCATGGTTGACCAGTCTCTTTTATAATACACTATCAGTGACTCTCAACATACATTAATCACAAACTATTTTTAGTATTTCTATAACATTGAATTTTTCTACCCAAAAAAAAAACCATTTCTGTCTTTTCTGATATTTCTAAGTAATCCTTCAGTATCCCAACTCCCTACTTGGTACATAATAGATACTAAAAAATAAATATAAAAAAACTAAGAAGACTCTTTGACCATTGATTAAAGTCCTAAGTGCTTCGCATAAAAAACACTACTGCTTAATGCAATGACTGAGAGTAATTCTTGACTAAATTTACATCTTTCCTAAAACACATATATAGTTTTAATTACGTACAAATGCATTAGTTACAGTTACAGCACATTTCACCACGTTGGTTATGTTCAACCGCACTGGATAAACACTTTGCATAGTCATACTATAAGAGAAAAATCCTAGAATGTTATACTGCCACTACATTCAATGCTTCTTTTTAAGCATTTTCCGAATCCCATCTTTTCCAAGATATCAACCCAAATTCAATATCCAGATACCAATCTTTCCAATTAATCCCGCACCACAATTACAAACTTCAATTTCATTGCCCAAAAAAGCATTTCTTAAACTAAAATAAAACCATCATGGTGCTAAACAAACACTCACTCATGCAAGAAGCACACACACACACACAAGCATTCAAAGCAACTGAAAACAGAAAGGCTTTCGACGATCCGTCGTTTCGGTTTCTGAAGTCGCATTTCTAACAAAGAAAATCCAGAAAAAATCAACAAAATCTCTGTCACTATTGCCAAATACCAGCACGCCAAAATTCACAACAACAAAAAATTCCAACAAACGTAACTGCCACTGCAAAATTAAAAATTCCAAATTCAACACAATCGTTAAGCTAATGGCATGGAAAGTGTACCGTTTGGCAAGAGAGAAAACAGCAGAGGAAAATTCCACTGAATCAATTCAAAAGGAAGCTTCCGCTTTTTCTGTCTATCTGTGCGAGTCAGAAAATGGTATGTGCTTTGTCTCCTGGCTTTGCTTTTACTATTAAATTCTTTGCTTTAACTTTTCGGTCTTGAGTGGCAGAGTGACTGAGTGAGTGAGTGCGAGAAAAGTCTCTGACGAGTCCAAGTCTCTCGAAGCTACGTCGTTTTCGATGAGCTGTACTTCGTAACAGATTTAGGCGTCTTTTCAGGGTGCTCATAATTATCTCTGTTTTAATTTTTAATTATAACTTAAATAGTAATTTATCCCTTTAGCTACAATTGATTTGATAGTAACTTCATTAAAACTTAAATAGTAATTCTCTTGAAAAGACAAGATTCTTCCACCAAGCTAATTTTGAATTTATCCCTTTGTCTGATTTTCAATATTTAATTTGATTCAATCGTTTGTCAATTTTGATCTTTGGGCTTAAGTTCAATGGGGGTAGGTTTTCTAGAGGGAGATGTCCATTGGTTTGTCTTTTTTTGTTTCTTAACAAGAAAGCAAGTGATTAAAAAACACAAAATAGAAATTTACTATCGCTATCTCTCAATTCTTTTTTAACTTCTAAAGTGATCGGATTTGATTGGAAAATTTATAATCCAATCTATATTTGATCGGGTGTGGATTGATGAAATTGTATTGATTTCGAACGGATATACACCCCTAGAAAGTTCTAATCCTCTCCTTTCTTTCAAACCCATCACAATCTTTTACGCGATTTAAATCACCGGCGAAAATTTAGAGAAGGATATTATGTAAATGAAAAGATATGTTATTTCCCCAAAATTAAACTAATTTTTATGTGCAACTAGCTCAATTGGTTGAGCTCTTCCACCTTCACCCATGTGGGTAGAGTTTCAAAACCCCCAGACACCCAATGAATATTTGTGTAAACCCCCTACCCCAATCGTATGTACAAAAAAATAAAATAAAATACCTAATTTTCAATTTTTTGTTTGTTTTGTTTTTGTATAATTACATACTAGCCTCTCCGCACATACTTCCACGCATACGAGAGGCTTTTTAAAAAAAAATTAAAATTAAAATTTATTTTAGAATAAAAAAAGATAATGGGTGTTGTGTTCCATAAAAATAGGATCAATTATCTAATTATTCTTTTTAAAAAATAAATTTAATATGAAAAAGTGTGAATTTACCATATTATACTCATTTAATTAATAATTTCAATTCTTAATGTTTGCATTAACCAATGGCATTTTCAGGTATTTTGAATGTTTCACCATTCTTTGTTTTTTGCTTTATATGTATATATTATTTATGATCCTGAGCCTCCACATTTAGCCACTATGAATTTACCAGCATTTCACAAGGTCTTAACTATTCTAATGATCTAACGACTCAAGATATGACATATCAATTTTTAACTTTTGGCACATATCTATTTAATTAACTCAAACTTAACACCGTTAAGTCTAAATAAATTTTAAAATAATAAAATAAAGAACAAACCATAAACTTATCAACAGCCACTGATGACACACCACAACCCACCCCACCCCACTCACGGCAACCCCCTTCCCTCCTCACATCCAACCTTCATTGTTTTTTTTAAGTAAATTTAGGTTTTAGCCAAAAAAAAATTTCACTTTTGGAAAAAGCCAAAACTTTTTCAAAAAGACAGAAAAACCTCTCAACTTTCAAATCAAAGACATGCAATGTAAAGGATTCCTTAGGAAATCCAAAAATAAATAAAGGAAATTTTGTCCATTTTGGCTTCTTTTACAAAATTTCTCTCTCCTTTGTGTTTTTCCAAAGTCTCCCTTGTTTTTAATATCTTCCTTTCTCAACCACAAGGTGGGGTGCGGTTGGCAAACTGTCACCTCGAGCTGACGAGCTACTTGGTGCCTTAATGGCAAGAGTTCGAAACCCGTTGAAAGCATTTTGTGGCCAGGAAAAAGCTGAACCTTGAGCGGGGATTAATCAACTAAACTGTTTTTGCATAATATTAATGCAATAAAAAGCAAGAACTAGGTCTTATCATGGTGGCCTTCTACCCACTTAACCTAAATCAAATTACCTAACACTCATAAACATTTATGAAGCATCTCCACCCATAAATTTTTGGAATATTTCTAAGTTTGAGTTAATTATAAGTTTGAGTTTGTGTGTGGGGTGGGGGTGATGTTGCTGATATCTATCTAGTTCTAAATATCCTTGAAATTCTTCCATTTTTTACCATTGGTTCTAAACAAACCCCACCAAACAATAGAAGCTAAATTTTAAAAAAGGGAAGGAGTTAAGTTCTAAAGTCATTTTAGTTCCGGTATAAAAAAAAATATAATATTCCATAGGTTTAGGGTTTTTTAGTTGTTGTTTATTTATTTATTTAGACTTAACGGTGTTAAGTTGGAGTTAATTAAATAAATAGGTGTCAAAATTTAAAATTTGACATGTCATATCTTGAGTTGTTAGATTATTAGAATGGTTAAGATATTGTGAAATGCAGGTAAATGCATAATAGGTAAATGTAGAGGCTCGGGACCATATGATTGAGCTTAAATGGTGAAGACACCTTTTCAACCATATCAATACGGTATGGGAGATTCGAACTAATGCATCTTCCAAGTTTGGAAAGTGCAAAATGGTCCCTGGACTAAGACCAAGCTTTACTTTTCGTCCCTCATATTGCTAAATTGTTACGGTGGTACTTTAATTATGCCTCTACTTTCAAAAATCATCCTTTTCGTCATCTCAGTCAACTTTTCCATTAAAAATGAGGGCATATTTGTCTTTCATTAATTTTAAATTGATTAAAATGTTGAAATTAAAAATAAAATTAAAAAAACTCTCTCACCCCACTAATTTCTTCTCCCCCCATTCCCCATGACTACCATCCGCCGCCATGAATCCAGAACCCTAGCAAATACAAGAAAGGGAAAAAAATTAATCCACTTAGGCTTTTTTTTTAAAATTTATTTTCTTTCCTTTGTTGTTTGGTTTTGTTGGAGAGACTTGGAGCCAAGATTCCACATCTAAAGGAGAAATTGGTAGGGTCTGATGTGGGTTATTGGGTGAGAGAAGAAATTGAGAGAGAGAGAGAGAGAGATAGATACATATATATATATATATGATATTTATTTTTTAAATTTGTGTGAAAATACATTTTTGTCCATACCAAGTAGGACTTGTCAATGCCATGTCATCATTTTTAACAGAAAAGTTGACTGAGTTGACAGAAATGATAATTTCTAAAAGTGGAGGCATAATTAAAGTACCATCGTAACAATTTAGCAATATGAGTGATGAAAAGTAAAGTT